AGAACAGGAATCTCTAAATTTGAGTTTTGGACAGGCTTTCTGAGGGGGGAAAGGGGAGAAAAGGTATTAGGCAAGAAGTGAGAAGTTTCTGACTAAGAGAACAATATGTGCAAAGGCTCAGGGGCTCTACAGCAGGGGTGGGGAATGTCCAGCTCAGGGGTCTTAGTATAAAGCTCACAAAATCATTTGGTCTGGCCCTCCCAAGTCATTAGGGGTGAATTAATTGTTTGGCCAAATATAGCAGGCTGATTTGTAAGTTAATAATTTTGTATTGCTTGTCAATGGTGTTATAAATATCCAAGTGGCCCTTGGCAGAAAAAAGTTTCCCCACCCCTACTTATGAATAGATGGGAATGACAAGAATTAAAGACTCGATTTAGGGCAAATCAATGGTCATGAGCAATATCCTAGTATTCATCAATTCTGTAAGGGCCCTTCAATCAGGCACACCATTAAATTTGGCATCTAAATCAGAGAATTTTCTAATAATTGAGGGTGAGATGACTCTGATAACTTCTGAAAGGGAAAACAGAAATCACTAAAAACATAATACTTTTTATAATCTTTTACTAGTGCTGTTGGCTTCTTTTCAGAAACAGATTAAATTACCTCCTCCTTTTGGTATGCTGGTAACGGGAAGAAGCTGTGTGACTTTCCAAAGGGTACATGAGTGGGATTTGAATCAAGATCCTCTGGGACCAAGTCCAGAGTCCTTTACAAGTTATGGAGCTGATTCCAGTTTCAGACACTGGTCAAATTGTTATTCTCCACAATGTTCCAAAATTACATTTGTGTTGGCAACTTTATCCTTTCAATGTAAATAATTCCTGCTTCCATTCATACCTTAGTCTGAAATAGAATCCTGGAAATTCAATCTGAGGGATAAAAAAGTCATTATGAACAAAGACCAACTTAATGATCAATATTCTGGAATATTTAGTTTAATTTGAAGTGGCCACTTTCCTCCTATCTAACCTGAATCTGTTGTGACTGCTCAATGAGAAAACACAGGCCTGGTTTAAATTATACAAAGTATAACATGAAGTTATCAGATTCTTCTCTCTAAGAGTTGTTAGGAGGTAGGTGATGGGTACAAAGGTGGGGCAGTAGCCTGTAAAATTTTGCCTCTCTTAAAGTGCCTGTACAAAAAGTCATGTTGAATGATTTTTCTTCTATAGCTATAAATAAGAATGTTAATACTGTACATAGATTTAACAAATCCAGTAGTGAAAAGTTGTGCCAAGAATCACTCAGTCATTTGGTAACCAATAAATTAAAAACTAAAATGGGAAATCATACCAATATATTTACCAGCCCAACTTTTATTATCTTTGATCATCTTTTCATTATGTTATTTGGCAAGTCTAAATGCTCCCTGCTAGACTTCTATAAGCTCAAAAATACTGACTTTTGCTTCATTCTGAGGATGAAATATGGGATATCAATTTCTGTGATAACAGTGTGACTATAATTCAGCTGAATGTTAGCCAACTTATAAAAAGCACAATAAACTAATTTTAGGTCAGTTATGATGCATCCACAATTAAGAGAATTTGCACTACAACGGGGAATAAAGTTAGTCAACAAAAGTCTGATATCATCAGTTTTCATGAAAGTATCTAAATCAGCAAAGTACAAATGGCTTTGAGACTGACTGGACTCAGAACAAACACACAAGTAGCCTAGTCAAGTCACTGGTTATAGTCTTCCCAAAACTAAGATTTGAACATAGCTGTTTAACCCAAAAAATTTACAGATGCAAAGTACCATGCATTATCCTTTCCAGTCCTTATGATATACCAGAAGCCAAATTGTATGTTTAATACTAATTTTGATTTACAGCTTTACAGCTTCTGAAATGCTCAAAGATTTCTCATTCTAGGATAGCAGAGTAGGTCATATTTAGTATAATATGTATGATAGATATCTGAGCACAGAGTCTAAGTCACTTGTGCAATGTCACAAAACCAACTAAAATGCAGAGGCAGATTTTTTCAATATTCGTTCATTCAACAAATAGCTAGAATGCTAAGACTTTGTTTTACGGCCTAGTCAACGGTAGATACATAAAAGTGGAAGAGAGACAATAAACAGGTAAACATACAGAACATAAGATTTTAGAAAAACGCTTTAATTTTTGATAAATTTAGGTAAGTTTTAAATAAATGCTATAAAGAGAACATGGATAGTGGTGTAGAATGGCACAACCAGAGATCAAATGTTCTAAGGAGGTTACATATGAATAAGGCCCGAAGGAGGATGACAAACCACCCATGTGAAGGTCTACAAAGATATCCCAGGCAGAGGCAAATGTAAGCATAAAGCCCCAGGGGCAGGAAAGATCATGAACACGGTGACCAGACAGCTGAAGGCGAGGAAGAGGGAGGAGAATAATGAGGGAAGAGGGTAGAGACAGTGGACTGGTTATATAGAGCCCTTAGACCACTCACTCCAGGAGGTAAAATTCAAAGTGAAATTGGAGACAGAGGTGGGATGATCTGATTTTCCTTTTAAAGAGATCATCCAGGCTGCCAAAAGAAGAAACAACTGTAATACAATCTTCTAGCAACAACCCCCTTGAGATTCAAAGGTACCAATAACAGTCTATTCCTTAGAGAACATTCCCGCAGAGTGGATGCACAGGTACTTGTTACCTTTGAGATTTTACATGAGTATCATGCACTTTTCTGTACAAATCGTACAGATGTAAGGGTGGAAGCTGAAAAACCACCAGAATGTTTCTGTAACAGTCGGGTGTGAGGTGATGGTTCCTTGGGAGTAGGGAAGTGAAAAGTTATTTGTAACATACATAGTTCAAAAGTATGGTAAGGAAGTCTTCCTGATGGATGCAGGCAGGGGCAGGAATCAAAGCTAACCAGCGGTTCTCAACGTGGGATGGTTTTGCCTCCCAGGGGACATTTGTATTGTCTGAAGACATTTTTAGTTGTCACAATTGGTGGTGGTGGGGATTGAGGGGGGGGAGGAGGTATGACAGGCTACTGGCCTTTAAGGGTGAAGGCCAAGAACGCTAAACATACTATAATACACAGTATTACTACAAAACAAACGTACTTGGCTAAAAAGTGTTACATGCTGAGGTTGAGAAATCATGATCTAGACTGATTCCAACTGATTCCCATCACAGAATATCCCTATTTCTAGTAGAATCTACATTAAAAAAAAAAAAAAAAACACACCCCAAAACCTAGAAATGGCATTCCTTATTTTCATTATTTAGAGACAAATAAAATTGTTGTATACATGGAATCAAGTTTATTTGTTTAGAGATGAATTAAATCACTGTGATTAACTCTATGTTGATCAGGACTGATTGGTACATGAGTCTAACAAAATATAAAAAATCAAATGCTGATTAATAAATGCCATTTGTTGAACACTTTCTCAAAATGCAAGTAGAAAACTTCTATTTGGCAACACTGCCCAACACTGCTTTTAATTTTTCTTTCTACCAGCTGGTTTAATTTGTAGTCCAATGCATCCACTACTTCTCCAAATAAAAATTCCCCCCAAATCTAAAGAGACGGCTACAAACGCTGGAAAGATAATCAGAACTATAACTGGGTAAGATGGGAAGAAAATGATAAGCCACTAGTATGTATGTGCATCTACCTGTTTAGTTATCTTATTTTGGGCCTTGGGCACGTTAGTTTTAGATACCAGAAGACTGCAGCACGCATTTCTCTCAATTACTCTAAGACCAGCAATAGGAAAGACACTTTATAGACCTAATTAACAAAACATAAAATGTCAAAGTTGGTAAAATTCATTTCACCTCCTTCTTGGCTACCTAAAAGGAGAGGATCTGGAAAAAGCCATTGTAATCCTCTCCCACAGCATCCTCCACGTCTGGACCTGCTATTTTAACGCAAGAAATTACGTGCCACCACGTTATGCTGGGAAAGGTCTGGAGAGCTGAAATGATTTGGTGACTGAAGTAGATTAACAGAAAATAAGGAAGTAATTATCAGTCCTAAAATGACAGGACATTACCTTCCACAAGGTGGGACTGGGGGGGGGGGGGGGGGGGAACTACTTCTAAGAAGCTACTTTTGGAGTAAAGAAAAGGAAGTTGTGCTTAATTACAAGGATCTCAATGAAACTGGTCACGGACACACAGAATCCTAGGTAACTGAGTTTTAGGAACAATTTACGTTTTTTTAAAGATAAAAAGGAGCGGGGGGAGGGGGGAAAGCAGTCATATTATCACAGCCTCATAAACATTATTTACCCAAATCATCTCACGTGGTAACAAGCCTGAATTCACCTCCACTTGTGATAAAACTTAAAAAAAAAAAACAACTAACCATCTAAAAGTAAGACACAAGGGCGCCTCACTACCCTGAAAATCATGCCGCGCTCCCGCTAGACCCCGGGGACGTTTCCGGGCGCAGCATCACCTCGCGGCGAGCCGGGAGCGCTCTCCCCGGGCGGCCTCCCGGCGGCAGGGACCTCAGGACACCGCAGCGTCGACTTTACGCTCGTGACGTCACCCTCCCCCCCCTCCCCATGGAGACGCAGAATTGCCCCCCAACGTAAAATTCACCGAAACTAACTCCCTCAGGCAGCGGCCGTTAGGAAGCTTTCCTTCAGGCTTTCAGGAACTCGGTCCTACCGCGGCCGCCCGGCCGACTTCACCCTCCCTAACGGGGCAGCCACACCGCATCCACACAGGAACGCGCGAGAGCGGCGCCCTCACAAACTACATTCTCGCGAGATCTTAAATGCAATTATCGCGACATCTTCCGGCGTGCCTGTCCCTCACCCAGGCCCCCTTTTTTTTTTTTCTTAAGCCCCACCTCTACACAGCTATTTGCTGAGAAACATCGCGAGATTTGCTGCTTTCAATCCCCGCCCCTTTACGGCACGATGGTCGCACAAGAATGTGATAGAGGCTACGCGGCCGCCATTTTCTCCCTTTCTTAGCAGTTGGCTGGTAAGAGGTCTCTGTGGAGAGCGGTAGCGGCCACAGTAGGGTAGAGATGGCAGACTATTCAACAGTCCCTCCGCCCTCCTCTGGCTCAGCCGGCGGCGGAGGCGGCGGCGGCGGCGGCGGCGGCGTTAACGATGCTTTCAAAGATGCGCTGCAGAGAGCCCGGCAGGTAAGCCGGGGCCGCGCGGCGGGATCCCGACGACTCACGGTAATTGGTCGCTGGCCGAGTAGGCCGCTACTTCTTCGCGCAGAGGAAGAGGGAAGACACGCTCTTCCGGGCTCTTGAAATGTGGGGGAGAGTCACGTTTCCCCGCGTTGGGGGTGCGCGGGTCAGAGGCTAGAGTTAGGTTTCGGGTTCCTTGCTGTCGGAGCCCGTGGTAACCCCAACACGGGCTGCGCGGCGCTGGCCGTGGCCCTCCCTCCGTCCTCCCCGGCCGCACACGCGCTTCTTCCTCCTCTGAGGAGGGAGCGTGTCCTCCTCCTCCTCCTCACAAGGAACACGGCTCCCCCGGGGTAGAAAGCGCGCCCAGTTCCGCACAATGGCGTGGGAGGGAAACCAGGGTCGGACCCGGGACCCGGAGCCTTGTGAGGGGAGGGACAGGCCGCGAGAGCCGCCCTCACAGCCGCTCTCCTCGCGGTTAACCCGCCCGGGTGGCTCACTTCCCCAGCGGCGAGGGAGAGGCTTAGGGAAGGGCTGAAATGCTTCCTCACGGCGGGATGGATGTGCCCGGGAGAGAGCCGGTCCTTTTCTCCCCCCTTATTTCTCAAAATGGCTTCAGGCCCGTCTTACCCCGATTTCCCATTTGAATCTGCCTCTCTGTTCGGAGCCGTAAACTGACCACCTCTTTGTGTTACGAAGGTGCCTGCATTTGCCCCGAAGGCACTTCTTTGGCGTACACGAAAACTTTTTTAAAAAGGGCAAGCACGTGTACCTCAGGAAGTAAAGATTTCTTAATTTGAACTTCCCATCTTTATTGGGAAGTACGTTAATATAATTATACCTTTAAAAATGTGTGCCATTGGTCTGGGCTTTTTGCAAGCAAAATTGAGAATCTTTTCCTCGTTTTGACACTGTGCACAATGGGTGCCTGGCATTTTTAGGCGTTTGTGCTGAACAGATGGCAATCGGGAACTTAATTTTGTCCAGTGCTTTGATTACATTAGGAGTTCGCGTAATTATTTTTTTTTTTTACCCTCCTGTTAAAGGATTATTTCAGTCTCAAAATCCGTGAAATCGGTAGCGATGTGACAAATCGCTCTTTATTTTTATAATGTGGACACATTATAAGTAAAAAATGTACCTGTACTAGTTTATAGTAAGAATATTCAGGAGAGTCGAGGAAAAGTCATCACTAATACTAATGCTACAGTTTTTTCCGTGTAACTTTTATTCTGAACATGTTTTGAATAGCGACTTGACATTTTATAATGACAGGGTTTATTTTTATTCAAACGGCATATTGGATGATTATGTGCCACCCACTCTACTTAGATACTGGAGAATTTTTTAAAATGTACTTCTTTGTTGATTTCGGAGAGGAAGGGAGGGGGGAGGGGGAGAGAGAGAGAGAGAAAGAGAAATATCAATATCAATGATGAGGGAGAATCATTGATCAGCTGCCTCCTGCACGCCCTCCACTGGGGATCGAGCCTGCAACCCAGGCACGTGTGTGCCGTTGACCCGTATCGAACCTGGAACCCTTCAGCCCGCAGGGTGACGCTCTATCCACTGAGCCAAGCCGGCTAGGGCAGATACTGGAGAATTTTTAAATGTGTGAATTGGGTTTCTGGCTTCTAGGAAGCAAATGCAAATGAGTGGTTTTCATAAAGAAGTGCACATAATAAGGACAGTTAATCTATTTGTCCTATAAACATTTATAGAGTTCCTACTTAGGAGTTAAGCACTGTTCACACCACCAGGGAGTGGGGTACCTAACTGCCAAAGTAAAAGACTGATACTTTAAGCAAGGCATTAAAGAAAGTGGGAGTTTGACCGGTGGAGAAAAAGAATGTGCAAAGGTATGAGGGGTTTTTGCAATGACAACCCAAGTATGAAGTCACTGGAGGATAGTATTGGGTGAGGTGAGGCAAGAAGTGAGAAAAGGTACAGATGGATACAACTTCTGAAAGACTGCTTTAATAAAAAGTAGGTTTTATGATTTGACTAAGCTATAATTTCCTGGTTAAGTTAAACTGCCTTTTTAATGTGGAAATTGTCCTCAAACTGGAATCTTTTCATACCAATAGGTCAGCTGCCTCAATGCCCTTGATGTAAAATCTTTTATAGGTAGATGTCTTTGCTGTAATAATTTGGTTGTTCTTTACCGACTTGATCTTAAATCTGAGGTTTCCAAATTTTGCTTCTGATTACATTTTAGGATGCTGCTCGTCTTATATAAGTGAAATGTTGGGAAGAGTACTTGGACTGAAGAAACAAGTTAGGTTAATACTTGAACCACTTTTTCCTAAAGGACACAGAATTATATTTCCAAAATTCCCATCTAATCTTAAGCTTCATTGCTTTGTCCAAAGTATTATCTGTGTTCTTTGGAAGGAAGAGTTATAAGAACAGCTTCTTTTTCCTCAAAGAGCTGTGTACCTATGGGCATTTTTGGCTGGACAGTTATCTGTTGGAAAGCAGGATTGAGTGGTTAGGATTACTGGTCCCTTAGTTAATGCTAGTGGCATTTACGCTAGCTGATTGTTGCCATCCGGTAATTTAGGCCAAGTTGCCAATTTTTTTTCTTCCCCCCCCCCCCCCAGAGAATCCTAGTTCTTTATTTTAAATGAAATTTATAGGTTTTTATAATACACTCTGTGAGCTAAATCCAGCACAGGACTTATCCACCTTTTTCCTCAATGACATATGAGGATAGAAGTGAATCAGACAGAGACTGAGACTAGATAGATGAGTAAAGTGGTAGATTACTTTCCTAAAGGACTCTGAATTATATTTCCAAAATTCCCATCTAACTTTAAGTTTCATATCCTTGTCCAAAGTATTATGCTATGTTTTTTGGAAGGAAAAGATATAAGAACAGCTTATACAGTGGTAGATCACAAGTTAACAAAAATATCAAACTTCATCCATTCTGCTTAACTACTAAATTAAGTACCCAGACATTTTTTTAAATTGATTTGAGAGAGAAAGAGGAGAGGGAAGTGGGAGAGAAAGAGATACATCTATTTGTTGTTCCACCTATTTATGCATTCATTTGTTAATCCTTGTGTGTGCCCTGACTGGAGATTAAACCATCAACCTTGGTATAGGGGACAATGCTCCAAACAACTGAGCTACCCGGCTGGGGCCAGTTCTCAGTTGTTCTTGAAAATTCTTTTTTGATAATTATAAGTTGCATTATGCTGTTTGAATGCAATGAAAATTTTATAAAATAGAATTGTTGATTTTAATTCCCATTAACCCCATCAATGAAAACTAACGTTTGAATGTGACTTTAAACAATTTGGAACAGAATAGCAACGTTTGATTATGATAATAAGCAAAGATTCCTATTTCGTAGGGAGGGAACAGTGTTAATAAAATGGTGGCCTAGTAATATTTCTTGAGTCCTTTCTGCATCTTCACATTTCTGGTGCGTGAGAACAATCAAAACCTGGCCCTTAGCAGGTACTTAGTATTTATTTAGTTGAATCAAGAAATATACTTAATGAATTTAGGTAGTAATGAAATTTTGTTTTGAAAATAATTATGTTTTTGCAGAAATTCATTTGTCGAATGTTCACAATATGGCTATGTCAGTCCTTAGGGATAACAGAGAAATCGCATACCTTAGTCTCCTGCAGGCAGTTTTCACAAATAGAATGTAACTACATATATCTTTAGCAGGACAAATAAAAATTGTTAAAATTTAAAAATGCAAAATTTGATGTCTTGCAGACCCTGCTTTATAGTTTGAATTATATGCTGATCTGTTTAATTAGTAATTAATATACTATGTTAGGCTCTGTGCTAAACTTGTATTCATTTAATTCTCACAACCACCCTATAGTATATTTAATAAGACCAAAGCTATAGTATATATAATTCTAATATGCTTTGCTATATGTGTTTGCATGTAGAAAATGGGAAATCTAGTAATCCTGGGAAGTATGTGGGAACATATATATAAGTTGATACATATTAGATTTATGACTCAAGTTAGTTATAATGAAGCTTGAGGTATAGTTGGTTTAGTTCTACATCAGAACATCTTTGGGGGATTTCAGTTACCAAAAGTTTGATTTTTCCATTTAATTTTTATCATGGAACATTTCAAACATATTCAAAATTGAAAGAATAATGTAATATGAACTCTGAGTCTTTCATCCACTTTAGAGATTATCCCCCTAATAGTTATTAGTCTGGGATTGTGCAGAAATTGGGATATCATCATTGACTAATGATGTAATCTTAGTTAAATTAACCTCTTATTTTTTTTTTAACTGTAAGATAGATCTCTACTTCACTAATTACTTTCTGCCTCATAGAGATGTTGATTATTCAATGACAAAATGAATATAAAACATAGTGTGGAGCTTGGCCTGTTGTTAATATTCAACAATATTAGTTTCATTTCTTTCATAGAAAAATGCAGTAAATGTCTATTGGTTGTGCCCCACTTGTGACTTCAGGCTGGTATTTCAAATATGATTTTTGTTTAGTCAACTTCAGGCAATTATTTGGCCCACTCTAATAGTTAAGTCTTTAAGGATATGTCTGCTTTCTTGCCCCTATGTTTCTTTAGTCCAAGGTTGTCGAGTAGAAATATAATGCAAATCACACATTTTATTTAATTCAGCATTTCTAAAACATTACTATACTAATAGGTGTTCAATATAAAAATTTTGAGATGCTTTACATTCTTTAGTTAATTTCAAGTTCTTAATATCTATATTTTACACTTCAAAGTATATCTCCAATTTGGACTATTTTAAGTACTTAATAACCACATTAGCTAATGTCTGCCTTATTAGACAGCACAGCTGTAGAATCCCACAGGTATTCACATATTCTTTGCCAACGCACAACTTCTGTGGAGTCATGGGAGAGCCATGGCAAAGATAGAATTAGGATCTAGATTTTCTTCAAAGCTTTTTGGTCAGTCTTTTTAAGGTTCCTAATTGATGACTTTTCTTTCTAGTATGAAAAGCTTAATTTTAGGTGATTATTTGCAGTTATTAATGGTAGCAGTGTACTATAGTTTGTCTTTTTATTAGGAACTATATGAGGAAATTGAGTACTAAATAGCATATAGTAGTTATGGTGCTCTTCTTAATGATAGTATGTTTTTGTTTTTTAAGATTGCAGCGAAAATTGGAGGTGATGCTGGTACATCACTGAATTCAAATGACTATGGTTATGGGGGACAAAAAAGACCTTTGGAAGATGGAGGTAAGTTATAGCCATAAGTATTTTTATTGTTTTACACAGTTGAGTTAAAATAATTTTTCAAATATTCTTTTATCATAAGATGCCTAAAATTGTAAGGCTTATATTGCCCTCAAAAGGAAAGGAGGGGAAAGAAACCTAGACAAGGTAGGTAAAATTTTAGTCGACCAGCCAGTTTTGTCTTATTAGAAAACATCATTATTCTTCTTTTAAGATTGTGCCAGATTGACAGTTTGCACAGACAACTTGTTAATATTCTGGGGGTGGGGGGAGTGAAAATTAAAATGTTAAGGGGACATTTCACAGGTTTTTCTCATCATACATGAATTAAATTTTTATATGCTATATTTTCATTGTTCTGCTATTTCAGATTTCACTTTAAAGGTTGAAGTTGCCAAAGTTTGCTATTCTAGTGTGTTGCAGATTATATCATTTTATTGCTACATTTTTATTTATTTTAGTACCTTGTCTTGTGTTTCAGGTTTAACTCAATGTGGCTTAAAGCAGTAGATTTACAGTGCCTTGTATTTAAAAAAAATTTATTGAAGTTTCTGAACTTAGAAGTCAGCACATATTTTTGTTTTAGATTTGATGTATGAAATTTTGATACAATTTCTTTTTGCCTTTTTTTTAAGAGGAGGATTCTGAATGAGCCTATAGAATGTATTTGTAGCTTTTGACTAGGGCTACATGGTTTTATTAAGTGACTTTCACATTTACAGTGAGGTTTTAATATACAAAACAAAAAATGAGCTAATGATGCTTCAGATGTTGTATGTAATGTATTCTTTTTATTTTATGTGTAGATGGCTCTTGGACAAGTCCGAGCAGTACAACACACTGGGAGGGAATGCCCTCTCCTTTTAAAGGCAGGAATTTTTATTTATTACCTGTGTTTAGTATGTAAACGTGAAATAAACCAGTGGATTCTGATATAGACACAGTATTTCTTGGATTATGTGTCTGAATTTTTGCTGTACAACATTCTGATGTTTAATTATTTAACTTTGAAGGGGGGAGGAGAATAGTACTTTATCAGTTGTCTATTCTAAGGTATGCATTGTATTCATCTGTAAAGGATGTAGATGAAGGTAGTCATGCAGTTGCTTTGAGTTTATGCTGAAGTTTATGCCTTGATATGTTTGGTGAAGAAAAATGGAACAGTTTAGATTGAGATTGCCTTGTAATGTCATTTTAAAATTTATTTTGCATAGCTTTGTGGTCTCTGTCTGATACACTCAACTTTTGATATGTCAACTTTTCACATTTTGATAGGTCTTCTTTTCTTCCAGTCTTCAGTTCCTACAATGGGAAGCATCATTAGCCTTTAGCATGTGATATTTTGCTAGTAACGGACCTAAATACTTTGTCTTATAACATTCTAAAGTGCTTAACATACATTAAGGTCAGTGATTTGATACAATCAAAAATAATTTTTTTTTAAATGTCTGTGCATCTTTTAAACATGAATAGTTTGGGCTACATTTTGGCACTTTTGGTTCAAGTTAAACTATACCTTCAGCTATTTCAATAAATGTTTATATTGATATTCTTGCTTGGGCAGGGGGAACTGATTCATATATTTGTACTTGTTGGCAAAAAATTAAAAGACACTTAATTTTGCAGATCAACCAGAAGCTAAGAAAGTTGCTCCTCAAAATGACTGTAAGTATTTATTTGAAGTTGGGTTAAAAAATAAAGTAACTGGATTTTAATTAGGGTTTTGTTCCTGTCTTCTGTTGGGTATCTTTGAAGTTCGTTGAAGACAATGAATATTATGTTATAATGAATTTCTTTGTAGATATGTGCATCTATCTTTATGATTTCTCAGTTGTGGCCAGGTACATATTAATAAGATTAGACCATTAAGTTATTTTAAATAGTCTCTTTTTTTGTTCTATTTCTTTTTTACTTTTTTTTAAATTTTGTTTTCTTACTCTATTTTTTAATCTATACTTGCACACTTGAAAAAGGACAGGTGTTTTTTTTTTTTTTTCTATGTCATTACTAGCTTTATTTGCCTACTGTCAGTGTTGATTTAAGTATTCTGCATAAAATTTTACTCTCTTCAAGGTATTATCTGTGCATCAGGGAAATATTTTGGAAATTGCTTGATAAAAGTATTAAATATATGTGAACTTAAATTTAAACTTATCAATGTTTATTTTTTATGGTAGCTTTTGGGACGCAGTTACCACCGATGCATCAGCAGCAAAGGTATAGTCAAATGCTTTTCAAATGATTTGCAAGTTTTAGTTGAACTATATGTAAAAACACAACCAAGTTAGTGTACGGTGAATATATGTGTGTGTTTCATTTCCTTCGACTTAAGGTAATACAAAATGATAATTTTTCCTTTTAAGAGATATACATTTGTAGTTTGGAAGGATGGGTGTAATTAGGCACATTTTAGAAGTAAATTAAAATAACCATTTTAAAAAAATAATTAAGATGACATTCTCTCAACTCTACTCCAGCTTCTTTGCATGTCTTCAGACTGTTTCTTTCATCATACCCTCACTTGATGTATGTTACCTTAAGATTCTAACTTTACTCAAGCCATATTTTTTTTTAAATATTTTATTAATTTTTTACAGAGAGAAAGGGAGAGAGATAGAGAGCCAGAAACATCAATGAGAGAGAAACATCGATCAGCCGCCTCCTGCACTTCCCCCACCGGGGATGTGCCCGCAGCCAACGTACATGCCCTTGACCGGAATCGAACCCGGGACCTTTCAGTCCACAGACTGATGCTCTACCACTGAGCCAAACCGGTTTCGGCTCAAGCCATATTTTGACTTAAAAAACAAACATGTTCCTGGAACCCTGGTTTGAGCCATTAGACATCCATTTTCATCAGTAGAGTACCTTTTATATGTAAATAAATTATCTTTCAATGAAGGAAGATTTTAGTTTCTGGTTTGTTTGTTTTTTTTAGCAGGTCTGTAATGACTGAAGAATACAAAGTCCCAGATGGAATGGTTGGATTTAGTAAGTAACCTAGTTTCTAAAGCTTTGAAAACAGTCAAAACATACTTGGCAGTCTTTCAGCTAATAATTTTCTTTCTAGTTATTGGCAGAGGAGGTGAACAGATCTCACGTATACAGCAGGAATCTGGATGCAAAATACAGATTGCTCCTGGTAATGTCATTTTCATGCTATTTTCATACTGAATAGAAAACTAGCATTTTTAAGCTAGTGAAAATTATGGTATGTGCTAACCTTTCCTTAGCCTTAAAATTGTTTGTTTGTTTTATATTGTAGACAGTGGTGGCCTTCCAGAAAGGTCTTGTATGTTAACTGGAACACCCGAGTCTGTCCAGTAAGTATGAAAATAATGTGTCTAAGGCCAGCGCCCTTCTTTCTACTGAAGGACATTATTTTTACAATTGAACCAGCTTCCTCCTGCACTGTTAATTTCCCCTTCTTTTCTAGATAATTTCTGATAGCATACAGACATGCTTAAAAATCTCACATTAACCAAAATGATTCCTGAACCCCACATTTATATTTCTCTGCTCCCTTTTACAACAAAACTCCTTAAATAAAGAGGTAGTCCTACTTTGGTATATCATTTTGTCATGACCCTACACCAATCAGGCATTGATTCCCACCATTAAAATTGGTCTATTGAGGATCGTGACTGGCTACTTCCTCATTCAGCCTGTCAGCACTGTTTGACACGGTGGACCACTTGCCTAGATACCTACTTCTCCTCTTTCTCAGTTTATCGTGGCTGTCAGCCTTATCTTCCTGGGTTTAACATAAAAGTGCCACAAAATTCAGTCCTTTTGCATTATATCTACACATACTCTTTGGATTACTTAATTTACTCTTATTAACCTTCATTTAATACATAGCTTTATATATCATAGATTTTATGTTCTAAATTTTTATTTCCAGCCTTGGTCTCTTTTTCTAAATTCCAGGCTCATATCTAGCTGCTCAGTGTACCTCAAACATTAGATTATTAGAAAACAAAATCATAGTTTTACAGCTCATTCCCAGCTTGCTTTTATTATTTATAATTATTTATCTCTTACATGTATGACAACTCTGTTTTAATATATATATTTTTTTTATTTCTCTCTACTCATTTATCTGTAAGCAATTCTTGGCCATTTTCTATTTCTAATTTATTTGAGATCCAGCCTCTTTTTGCCACCTTCTATACTACTGCCTTATCTGTGATGTGATTTGCCTATCTTACAATGTGTGTCCATTGTTTTACCCTTGTTCAATAATGATCTATTCTTATAACAGTATAGCTATAGTAATTCTTTTAGAATGTGAGTCAATTCATAATATTACTTTGCTTGAAATCCCGTAATGCTTAACTCAGAGTAAAAGTCAGTGTCTACCATGACCTGCTTACCTGCTATTTTTCTCTTTATTTTTTTTAACCATTATCCCAGCTCACTCTGTTTTAGCCTCATGTAGCCTCTTGTATTCTTTCAGCACATCAATTATGCTTCTCATTTGAGGTCTTTGCACTTTGTATTTATTTTTTCTGGAACATTTTACCCCCAGATATTTTCACATTTCCTCTCCCTCTTCCTTCAGGTCTTGGTTCAAATGTCTACCAGAAAGGTCTCCCATATCTACTTTCCATAAAATAACATCCCTTCACACCCATACACATTCTATCCTTATTTTGATTTTCCTTATAGCCCTTCCCAAATTAAATGTAATTTTTTTAACATGTTATTTTTTAATATGTTTTTATTTACTACAGAGAGGAAGGAAGGAGGAAGAAAAAAATTCAGTGATGAGAGAGGAACAATGATTGGTCTGCTGCCTTGTGCACAGCGCCTATTGGGGATTAAGCCCACAACCCAGGCCATGTACCCTGACTAGGAATCAAATAGTGACATCCTGGTTCATGGGACAAGGCTCAATCACTGAGCAATGCCAGAAGAAACTCTTGTCTGTTTTGTTTAGTGCTGTATCCCCATTAGCTAGAATGAAACCTTATATATAAATGACATTTCCTTGTATTTATTGAATGAATACATTTTAACATCTGAGTGACCAAAGTAATGGTTTAAAAATATAAATATTGCCCAGCCAGGTGTGGCTCAGTGGTTGAATATCGACCTATGAACCAGGAGGTCAATGTTCTATTTCTCATCAGGGCACATGCCTGGATTGCTGGCTTGATACCTATAGGGGCCATGCACAAGGCAGCCGGTCAGTGATTATCTCTTGTGATTGATGTTTCTACCTCTCTTTCTTCCTCTCTGAAATCAACAAAAATACATATTTTAAAAATGTTATTTAGTGCTTTAAGAATCAATTTAATATTGCAGTAACTCTGGAATTTGAGTGCTACTTAGAGATTCTGGGTTCTCAAAAATATTTAAATATTTAAAAATTGTATACCTAGAAATTTGATTGAATAGTTTCTATCTTAGACCCTAATGACATTTTCTTTTAATTGAAATTATTAAAATTTAGCTTTAAGCTATCTAAACTGGAATTGGAAGAAGTAACTGGTTATATTTTGTATTTCTCTTTGATAAGCTTTGGGGTATACTACAACTTATTTGACTGTTAATTTATTAACAGGTCAGCAAAACGATTACTGGACCAGATTGTTGAAAAAGGAAGACCAGCCCCTGGCTTTCATCATGGCGATGGGCCAGGAAATGCAGTTCAAGAAATAATGATTCCAGCTAGCAAAGCAGGATTAGTTATTGGAAAGGGAGGAGAGACAATTAAACAACTTCAGGTATTATTATTTGTAAAATATTACTATTTATCTGTTTTGAAGCCGATTTCCTCCCATTCCCCTTTTATTAATACTGTGTGTGTTGTTTTGTTTGTTTTTATGATGAACAGGAACGAGCTGGAGTTAAAATGGTTATGATTCAGGATGGACCTCAGAATACTGGTGCTGACAAACCTCTTAGGATTACCGGAGATCCATACAAAGTTCAAGTAAACAAGTTTATATTTTACAAAGAAGGGTTGGGGTGGGTGCAGAAATAGCAAAATTTGTATGAATAAATTGCAGTATTTTGAGATAATGCTTTCTAAATTGGGTAATTTTTTTCTACCTCAGCAAGCCAAGGAAATGGTGTTAGAGTTAATTCGTGATCAAGGTGGTTTCAGAGAAGTTCGAAATGAGTATGGGTCAAGAATTGGAGGAAATGAAGGGATAGATGTAAGTAAAAATACTCAGAAATGGTTTCATGCTAATGTATAAGTAAAATGGTGTTTTTCCTGTGTTGTATTACATAACCTACTCTTAACACTGTACCCTCTTTTTTTCTCTCCCAGTTTCCACCTTAGAATATAGTAGTATTTTTTGTGTTTTGTTACCCTACTCGATATAAAGAGTGTTGTATATATTTTTTTATGATTTGAGGCAGCTTGATTTTCAGTAAATGTTTTTTTTTAATACTTGGTCTCCTTTGCATCAGGTCCCCATTCCAAGATTTGCTGTTGGCATTGTAATAGGAAGAAATGGAGAAATGATTAAAAAAATACAAAATGATGCTGGTGTACGAATTCAGTTTAAGCCAGGTGAGTATGTACATTTAATTTTCTGAGTGTTGGTAGCAATTACTTTTGACAGTGACACATTTAACGTTAAATTAATTCATTTTCTTTTGTTTTGAAGATGATGGAACAACACCTGATAGGATAGCGCAAATAACAGGACCTCCAGACCGATGCCAACATGCTGCAGAAATTATTACAGACCTTCTTAGAAGTGTTCAGGTTGATAGAATATTAATAATTTTTTTGTTTTATTTTCATTAAAAAAAAAAATTTTTCAGCTCCAGCCAGGTGTCTTAGTTGGTTAGAGTGTCATACCATATACCAAATCAGTTTCTGCTCAGGGCACACACCTAAGTTGCAGGTTTGATCTCTGGTTGGGGCCGTACAGGAGGCAACTGCTTGATGTTTCTCTCACATCGGTGGTGGTTTCTCTTCCTCTCTTAAATCAATAAAGAAGTTAAGCTTGGTTGAAAATTTTAAAAATTTCCTTCATCAAATCGAAAAGCCCCCTCTTTATTTTATATCAGAATCTGTTTAATAACTAAGAAGTTTGAAATTGCTTTAAGGCAGACATCTTGGATCAGGAAGATAGCTAGCTACCTTACTCATTCCAGTATAAAATGATTAAATGGTGGTTATTACTGGCTGATTACTTGTACCAAGTTATCTCCCAACTTTTCTAAATTTCTAATTTAGTAAAATAGACATGTAATTTTTTATGGAAAGAAGAGTATTTTTATACCGACTTCGTTTCTTGTCTTTCTCTTTAGGCTGGTAATCCTGGTGGACCTGGACCTGGTGGTCGAGGGAGAGGTAGAGGTCAAGGCAACTGGAACATGGGACCACCTGGTGGACTACAGGAATTTAATTTCATTGTACCAACTGGGAAAACTGGATTAATAATAGGAAAAGGCAATGTATTTTAAACTCTTAATCTTTTAATGTAGGGTTAAGATTTTAACCAATTAATTTTTCTGATGATATATCTGTTGCTGTTCTAAACAAGTGGTGGTGATTTTTCCTGAGCTGTATTTTAATAGAAAAGTGTTATGTTGATATGTAACAGCTAAAGCATAAATGAGAAGGGCCTTATATATACTTTAAAAAAAGAGTAGGCTTTGATTCACCTTGGCTTCCAGAAGAGACCAACAGCTTATTATTAGTGTAAGAAACTTCTTTTGACCCCAAAAGTGATCTGGGTGTTTTTGTTTACCTTGCTATTTCCTGACACACATGTTCTCAAATTTTCAAATTTTTTTTAATGTGGTCTTTATATTGCTTGTAAAAGTAGTTTAATCGAACTAAATATTTTGATTTTGATAAGTTATCTGTTTTAAAGTTAGCTACAGATACACTGAATTATGTCTTAAAACTCAAATATATTTTAAGAGAAGCATGAAATGCTTTATACAGTTTGATTTAAAATATAGAATAATTGAAAATTTTAATAGAATATTGGCGGAGGGACTACTGGTCAAAGCTTAATGGCCCATTTAATTGTGACTTTAAGTTTATTGAAGTAATATTGATTAATATCATTATATAAACTTCAGGTGTACATCTGTATCTGTATACCCTATTTTGTACTCTATACCCAAAGTCTAATTTTTTTTCATTGCCACATATTTGGCCCTCTCCTTAATTTGCCCTTCCCCACTGGTAATCATCATTCTGTTTATATCTATGAGTTTATATTTGTTTGTTTGTTACTTCCATTTTACTTTAAATACCTTTTCTTGTATCCTTTGAATTCTTAGAGAAATAATTGTTTTGATTTTAGGAGGTGAAACCATAAAAAGCATAAGCCAACAGTCTGGTGCAAGAATAGAACTTCAGAGAAATCCTCCACCTAATGCAGATCCTAATATGAAGTTATTTACAATTCGTGGCACTCCACAGCAAATAGACTATGCTCGGCAACTCATAGAAGAAAAGATTGGTGTGAGTATGCTTTAAACTTCAATTTGTAGCATAGGTTCTATTCTAAAATTATAGGGCTTATTACATAATAGATAATATAAACAGAAAAGATTTTCTAGTAGTGAAAATAACCTAATTAAATATAATAATAGGTGTTCAGAACCTTATATTGGTGTGGGTAGATAGGAGGATAGCATTACTTGCAGATATATTAAGGTTGGTGGAGAATTGTGAAACATTTTTTAAAGGAGATAGTTAACAGGAATTCAGTGTTTATTACAGGCTTTTACTACATGTAACCCTAGTGACACAAACATGAATCAACTACATCCCACTTTAAAGTAGAAATTTATAAATCCTAATCCATAGGCAGTAATCTGGGGAGTTTTAAATGTAGACTACTTGGGTGCTTTCCACCTCTACACATGACACACAGTTCTCATTCAAGATGTCTGGAATAGAGCCCAACATTTACTTTTAGAAAGATGGACCAGGTGATTCTAATGCATGGCCAAGCTTGAAAATGTTTTCTGCTAGAAAAGTTGGTTGGTGGTACAAAAGTATATGAAAAGTCTTGACTGTTCTTTCTTATAAATGAGGTAAATGGTGCTTTACTGTTTCCTTTTACTATAAAGAATATTGGGTGTGAGCGAGCATCTTAAACTATTGATAAATAATTAGAATTTCTTAGAAAAATTCTCCTTGGTGTTTGCCATGCTGTGAATGGTGTGCAAAAGAAATTTGACACTGTTTCCGTCTGGGAAATCAAAACTTAACCAACCTTTTAATGCACAGTTGATTGGGCATCTTGTGCATTCAAAGGTTGGTTTAATTCCTAGTCAGGATCCATGCCTGGGTTGTAGGCTTGATCCCCAGCAGGAGGGGGCTGATAAATGTTCCACTCTCACTTTGGTATTTCTCCCCTCTTCCTTCCTCTTTAAAAATCATTTTAAAATATTTTAAAAAGGAAAGATATCACGAAAGTTAGCTTCATTATTTTGTAATGAGAAAATGACAACTAAATGTATTTTAAAAATAATTTTGTCCAAAATGTCTCATGGTAAATATTAACTGAAATAAAAGGAGTGTTTTAGGGCAGTTAAATTTAGTGGTTTTTGCAAGTTAGATAAATAAAAAGAAGACATCAAGTAAGTATATATTTTTTAAAGTAAATGTTTTCATTGAGTTTAGAAAGAGAACGGGAGAGATACATCAATTGATTGCCTCTAGTACTCCCTCCTGTACTGAGCCCACAATCGAGGCATGACCCAGGAATTGACCTTTGAGTTGTTTGGCCATTGTTGTTTTTCTGATTTTTGTAAGTCGTTTTGCTTTTTTGCAGGGCCCAGTAAATCCTTTGGGACCACCTGTACCCCATGGGCCCCATGGTGTCCCAGGGCCCCATGGGCCTCCTGGGCCTCCTGGGCCTGGAGCTCCAATGGGACCATACAACCCTGCACCTTATAATCCGGGACCACCTGGCCCTGCTCCTCAGTAAGTATTGGGTTTTGTTTGTGCTTTTCCCCAAAGATTCTAGCTTTTGTAAGTCATATATTTATATTGATTTTATATCTTTTCAGTGGTCCTCCAGCTCCTTATGCTCCCCAGGGATGGGGAAATGCATATCCACACTGGCAGCAACAGGCCCCTCCTGATCCAGGTAAAAAGATGCTTATCCTTGTGTAATTTGTATTGTTTTTTACTCCTATTACATTCTTATATTTTGTAGTTTGGTTTCTACGTTGTGTGCCATTTTCTGCACATATTTCACTTTTTCAACAGGAATGTTAGGTTCTGGTTCTACCCCAGTGTGTAAAACATGTGAATATGGTCTGTTGTCATGGAACCTTTTTTGACCTGTGTTTGGCTTTCTCTGCTTTTGAAATTATACAGCAGAGTGCTAAAAGACAAAGGCTATAGGAAGAAGTACAGTGTCTTGGGCCTTGGGTCCTAGTGCCATTTCATATATATATAGTATGTTACGAGTCTAAATGGAGTGTTTAATACTTGGACATTAAAACTCCTAAGTTCTCAAATAAGATATTTAAGTTGTCTGTTTTAGTATTCTAGATACAGTAACTTTACCTGTTAATAAAAAATCAGGTCTGGCCGAAACTGGTTTGGCTCAGTGGTAGAGCATAGGTCTGCAGACTGAAAGGTCCTGGGTTCGATTCCAGTCAAGGGCATGTACCTTGGTTGTGGGCACATCCCTGGTGGGGGGTGTGCAAGAGGCAGCTGGTCGATGTTTCTCTCTCATCGATGTTTCTAGCTCTCTATCTCTCCCTTCCTCTCTGTAAAAAATCAATAAAATATATTTTTTTAAAAATCAGGTCTGTATTTAATATTTGCATGTTAAAACTCTAAAATACTTTTTTTTTTTTTCAAATTTTCTCTGCTTAGATCTGGATTTTATATATATTACTTTCTGTTCAATTCTATGTTATTTCCCCCCCCACTATGAATGGTCAAGGGGGCACTTATCAAAACCATCTAACAATTGTTTGATTATTTTTTCTCACCTACTATCTTCCTTTAGACCTCTTTAACTGGAGTAATTTTAAGGAAGGTACTAATGATGGATTCCTTTCCACACTAGCTAATAGTTGTATTTTTAAAAACCTAAAAAAATTAGGTGAAACACTGTAGTATGTGGCCCCCAGATTCTATAGCATACTTTAATTTTAAAGGAAGTGTATTCTTTGGAAATTATGACAGAGCAAGGTAGTCACCCAATAGCCACAACATCCACTAAACAACGAGTGTGCTGAGGATCTGGGTGTGCAAAAAGTAGTTTATATTCTGTAGCAGAGGAGTGTATTTCAAGTGTTAGCAATAATGTGATAGAAGGACTTATAGAAGAGTCAAATGTGATTATTATGTAGTCTAAAGTTTGTCTTTTATGGATGAAAGGATTTTCTTCCCTCATGTAAACTAATTGGGATGGTGTGATAAGCGGAAGAATCACCATTTAAGAGATTCAACGGGTTGTGTAAGTTAAGGGGCAAATTTATATTGGGCAATTTAGATCTGCAGAGTAGCACCTATGAGCACTATTTGGGTAGATAGCATGATTGAGAAAATGATGGGAATAGAGAAATGGTCTCTATCACAATATCATTTTCCCACTTGGAATAGTAATAAATAGTAATTGTAATAAATAGTAATAAATAGTAATTGTAATAAATAGTAATAAATAGTAATTTATTAACAGGTTAATGAATGTGGTTTCTAGCATTGCTAGATATTGCTTAAATTAGACAGCATTATATAAAAACCAAATAAATGATTTAAATGAAATCATATTGACAATAAAATTAATATTCTCTGAACTAAAATCTGGTTTGATTAAAAAAAAAAATTAATGGGCTGTTAAGCATTTACATAGTCAAAAGATTAGACCTCAAAATGAAACAGAAGTAGATAAATCCTAATCCTACAACTTAGTAATTGTGGTATAACAAAGCACATTTTTAATCCTTATAAATATATATTTTCTTATGCATAGATTCCTAAAGTCTTTTATCTCGCTTTCTCTATCCAGACATGGTATCAAGTGAAAATATTTTGTATTTATTTGTATACAGGTAATGACACTATTGAGACATAAATATGCAATGTAGAAAAGCAATTCATTTCTTACTTGAGAAAGATTAGGAGGGTGGTGAAATGTCTTGAAATTATATCACCTTAAAATTATATCCCTCTATCCGAAACCGGTTTGGCTGAGTGGATAGAGCATCAGCCTGCGGACTGAAAGGTCCCGGGTTCGATTCCGGTCAAGGGCATGTACGTTGGCTGCAGGCACATCCCCGGTAGGGGGTGTACAAGGGGCAGCTGATCGATGATTCTCTCTCATCGATGTTTCCCTCTACTTTCCTCGCTGTAAAAAAATCAATAAAAATTAAAAAAAAAAAATTATATCCCTCTAAAAGTCCTTGTTCCTTTTTTCTCAAACTTCATTCACTTTTATTAAGCAGATAAAAATTGCTGCCCATTGGGGTAAAGGCTATAAACAGATTACATTATCTAAGAAAAGAACATTCTTCTTGAGGCTATAAACTAATAAAGATATACCTATAATACCATATGATACCCTTACTATAAAGTACAGAATCAATAAGAGGATTTGTTTCAAAAAAGTCTCAAACTGTTCATGTATCAGTTGATTTTTATGAATAAGTGAAAGTGAGCCAAGAGCAGAGGAAGCATAACATACTCAAAGGCCCAGGTCATTTTTGAAAAGTATAAACAGTTTATTATTGTCAGAATATAGGTGTTAGAAAAATATAACATAGGGAAGATGAGGCTGGAATGTAAAGAATAATCCAGGAGGTCCAGATCCTTAAAGATATTAGATGATATGCTGTACCTAAGAGTTTAGATGGTCTTGAAGACTCTAGGAAATAAATGAAGAATTTCAAGTTAGGACCATGACATCAAGTTTATGTTTTAGGATGAGATACGATGAGATGAAATATGACTAATCTCTGTTTCCTTTTCTAAGATCAAGTTGTCTTTTTATTAAAAACAAGGCAGGAGAAAGTTCATACTTCTATAATAATTATAGCCCTGTGCAGGAATCTGCACACCAGTAGCTTGCTGCTGCCCTCCAGTAGCTCCCTCCCCCCTCATAGCTCTCCGCCGCCTGCTTGTAGCTCACTGCCCCACCCTCCTGCTGATCCATGGTGCGGTCTGTCATTAAGCTTCGCAATGTAACGACCATTTGCATATTACATCCACTATATAGGATTGTTTCTTGTACATTTTAGTACCTGGAAATCCTTTCATTTACTAATCTGCTATATAGAACTGTTGTGCTCAAGACAAAACTGATTTAGAAAGAAAACACACAGGATGTTTTGAGACAAAGCAAGATCTTTATTCCTATCTGAATCCTGCCACCAACTAGTTTTCTAGGACCTAGGAATGCCAGTTAATCTCTGAACCTCTTTTTTCTATAAAAACTAGGGGTAACAGGAGAATAATAGGCGAATTTGAAAGTTTCTATCACTTGTAATTGTAGTTAATTTTGGGTTCTATGTATTTGCTAAAGGGTGTGTGTATATGAGAGAGAGAAAAAATAATGAGCTTTAGGTGCAAATGTTGAACTTGTGTTTATTTATTCTAGCTAAAGCAGGAACTGATCCAAACTCAGCAGCTTGGGCTGCATATTATGCTCACTATTACCAACAGCAAGCACAGCCACCACCTGCAGCTCCCACTGGTGCACCAACTACAGCCCAAACCAATGGACAAGGTAACTATGGTAATAAAACAATTTTTTTTATATATATATGTGTGTGTATGTGTTATGTGCATGTGAGAGAAAGAGAAAGAAAACTTATGTTTGGAATTATATATAAAGTGAATTTGATACCTAAAAATTCCTAATTCTTACAACATTGATAAGTAGACTTTTTAAATATAGATTACTTTTTTAGTCACAAACTTGCATAAAAGTTGTAAGATATATTGGAGAACACCCACTTTACCCTAATTGGTGCTTCATTCCTTAACACTCCCCCTCCCTTTTTTTTATTTATTTTTTTATTCTCTTATCGTGTGTCCATGTCTATTATCATTACTCTTTGTCAGAACCATTTATGGCCAAGATGTAGAAATGATGTCTCATTTAAAATATTCCTTTCTGTATTATTTCAAAAATCCATGACCATCATACAGGCCCTCCACATTAGTTTATCAATATTGATACATTATTACTATCCCAGTACACAGTCTCTAATTCAAATTTCACCATTTGTCCCAACAATTTTTATTCTGATCCAGGATCCCATCTGGTAACGTGTTTTTATGAGTTGTCAGGTCTATTCTGTCTCTTCAATCAGGATAAAAAAGTTTTTTGTGTGTTTTGTTTGTTTGTTTTTAATGTTATAAAGAGTACAGACCTTTTGTTTTGTGGGATGATACTCAGTCTAGGCCCTTTAATCTTTTGTTATGAAAATGATGTCATGCTTATGAGGTCCTGTTTGTGGTATGGCAAGAATACTTCTGATGTGCTCTTGTGCTTTACATCAAGAGGTCATATAATGTTGACCTATTTCATCCCTGGAAATGCCAACCTTTAGTTATCTGCCATATAGAACTGTTGTGCTTGAGGTAAAACATGTTGACTTGGTTATATTGGTGTCTTCCAGGCTTCTATACCATAGAATTACCATTTTTCTCTTTGAAATTACTATTTTCTAGATAGTTATGGTGATACTAAACCACTAATCTGTATCTCATTGGCCTTCGCTTTCATTGATTAATACTTGCCTCATTCATTCAGCTACAATTATGATGGTAATTTCTATTCCCATCATTTATTTTACATTTAATAGTTGGTAGTTTATTGTCAAAAGAGCTTCCCCCCTTCCCGCTTACTTCATTATATCAGTATAGGTCCTGTTTTATTCAGTAGGTTGTATTTTAAACTGTATGTGTTGAATATGAAATTGTCCTAGGTTTTACTAGTCAGGAGTACCTTCAAGATTGCAAATGTTGAACTTGTGTTTATTTATTCTAGCTAAAGCAGGAACCAATCCAAACATTGTCATTCTCCAAGCATTTTCTTAATTTCTTGCAGAATAAGGTGCTCATTTTGTGCTCTCAGGACTCCAGCCCTAGAATCAGTCATTTTTCCAAGGAGCCCTGATTCCTTTTAGTAGACGATGGTATTTAGAAACCAAACTCAGTATGTTCATTGCTACTGAGGTGTGATTGCTTCTAGCTCCTTTCAATGTACAGAGCTATGTAATTTACATAAATACATTCATACCGATATAAGTAAATATATATATGTTTAAATGTGTGTAAAATATATATTTTTTTCAGACTACATTCATACCACCTACAATTAATTACATTCTTGAACTTCAAGGTTCTTTTTAGCCTTTTTATGTATATAAATGGTGAGGGACCTGGTATCCTCAGTGTGTTTTCTTATTTGACAAATGAATTTACTTACATGCTCAGTGTAACTATCTTCCAAATACATAGACTATCTTCTCTGACCACCAACTTTGTACCTTACCAGCAGGGATACCATTGACACACAGCACCCTTCCTTCCCCCAACTCTTCCACTCAAGAAAGTGAAGGAAAAGCCCAAATTGTCTCTTGGCAACTTTAATCTATTTTTTTCTTTTCTTTTTTCTTGAACAAGGTGATCAACAGAATCCAGCTCCAGCTGGACAGGTTGATTATACCAAGGCTTGGGAAGAGTACTACAAAAAAATGGGTACGTTCTACATTTCCTTTATTATTTCTTTGGACTTTCACTGATTAACTTTTAAAACCTTAAACGAATAATTGAGCAAGAATGCATTACAAAATCACTATAAACGTTCAGATGGTTCAAGGTCATTACAAATAATAATTCTTAAGTTTGTGATTATATAATAAGGAAACATTTTTATTTGTCAACCATTTAACAATTGAAACTAGAAATACTTCTATTGGCACATATGACATTGTATATTACTGTCAAGACAGTTATATATATGTTACCCTGTTTCCCCAAAAATAAGACAGTGTCTTATATTCATTTCTGCTCCCAAAGATGCGCTAGGTCTTATTTTCAGGGGGTGTCTTATTTTTCCATGAAGAAGAATACGGTACACATTTATTGTTAAATGAAAATAAAGGAAATCTATTACCTGTATACGATACGGTAGTATGGTCGTTGTCGACACAAACCAGACAAACTGTGAATCCTACAGTATCAAGAATTTACTCATTTATTCAATGACAATCATGTCATCACCTTCTGGAACATCATCATAACAATCTAATTCCTGAATTTCCTGGTGAATTTCTTGTGACTCCATTTCTTTCAGAATCAGTAGACCAAATCTCTCATGTTTAGCCTAGGGGGACCTTATTTTCAGGGTGATGCCTTATATTTCACTCAGAAGGAAACCTGTAAGTAGGTCTTATTTTCAGAGAATGTCTTATTTTCGGGGAAACACAGTAGTAGCCAAAATGGCATAGGTTAAATTCTAGAATGGCAAAGAAAAATGTATACGTGTGGTATTATAATAGTGTCCCCATTTTCTTCAGGAGATACGATAAACTCCAAGACCCCCTCCCCCCAGTGGATGCCTGAAACCACAGATAGTAAATTTATAAACTAGGAACAGTAAGAGATTAACAATCTTTATGAAATAAGCAATATAATGCTAGAGGCCTGGTGTAAGAAATTTGTGCACAGAGGTGAGTAGGGGTTGTCCCTCAGCCCAGCCTGTATTCTCTCCAGTCCAAGACCCCTTTAGGGATGTCAGATCCCTGGGATCGGGCCTAAACAATCCTCCAGAACCACTAGCTTTTAACTGCTCACATACCTGATTGCCCTGAACTGGCGCCAGCCAGCCTGATCAACCCTAACCCCCTTTGCCTGCTGGCCTGGTCTCCTTGAACTGCCCATCCTCCGCCGGCCTGGTAGTCCCATGCAACCTGCTATTCAGTCGTTTGGTCGTCCTTCACTAACCCCCCTGCCAGCCTGGTTGCCCCATGTAGCCTATATTTGGTCTACCGTCTGGTAGTTTTGGTCATAATGGCCCCTGGCTTAGATAGATAGATAGATAGATAGATAGATAGATAGATAGATAGATAGATAGATAGATAGATAGAGATAGAGATATATGATAAGTAAGGGTTTCTTGAACACAAGCACTTAAAATATTGGAACAATTGATCTCATAACAACAACTAAGAGACTAACATGAATAGAATATACAGTGTGGATATGCTGGACATACGGAGATGATTGATCTCTTGAGAGTGAGAGAGTACAATGGCTCCAGATCTCATCACTCTTCTCAAAACAGTACAATTTAAAATGAGTTGCTTATTTCTGGGATTTTTCTATACAATATTTCTGACCACAGATGACTTCATACGAGTGGAGACTAGTGTAATTTTGGTTAAAAATAATCAGATAAGAAGTAACGCACAATGACAGAGGAAGTTACTTAAATGGCATTTTCATGTATGAAGAAGAAGAAAACAATCACCTAGAAAGGCCATTTTCATTCAGTAACTGTATAAGACTTATTATATGCCAAGTATAGTGATGGATGTCTACAGTGTGATTGTGAGAATAATACCTAGGAACCCTGTGCTTCTGGTTATCATAATCTAATGGAAGTACACTTGTTAATCAAGTATTCAGCAAATATATTCATACATACTGTTGTGAATGAAAGGAACTATCTTTACTAACACTTCACATGTGCAGATTAAGAAGCAGAGGTCACAACTATAACTAAGTGATGGAACCAGAAAGCCCAAGTGTATCTCTAAAATTTGCCTTTTTCAGGGACCATTTGGACAAGTAGTTTTTTGTTTGTTTTGCCAGATGCTTATGCTCTTGGTCATTTACAAACAATACAACCTAACAACATAGCCAATTGTCTTAAATGAAAGTTAAACTTGCCCATCCTAAACTAGTATAGAATGAAAGAAAATAGGTGATAGAATAATACCTAATAAAGAGGGAATATGCTACTTGACTGTTACGCCTTTAAAGGTGGTGGCTCCCAACTGCTGCGGTGCCCAGTTCCTGCAGCCCCCTAGCCGTCCAGGGCCAGCCTGAAGCAAAGGCAAGTCTCAGATGGCAACTGCCCAGCCACCCACAGCTGTACAAGTCTCAGGTAATCAGGCCCAACTGAGGATTGCACTGCCATCAGTAGCAGCACCAGAGGTGTGATGGGGGCATCTCCTTTCCCTGATTGCTAGGTCGCCTCCCACCCCTGAGGGCTCCCCACTGTGATAAAGAGGAGGCCAGCTAGGCTATGAGGAACACACCTCACCCCCGCCAGTGCATGAATTTTAATGCACCAGGCCTCTAGTTTCTTCATAAGATAAAATGTACTTGTGATTCTCAATGTAAATTTGTTGTGGTTTTGTTTTGTTTTTTTTGTCAAAGACTGTCATTTTCCACAGGGAAAAAAAATTAGTTGTTTTTTTTTTTGTAAAAAAGTACATATACCTGATGATAAGGATATTTTTTTACACTGATTCCTGTTTAAAGAAGGAAAATTAATTTCCCCGCCAAGCCAGTGTTGCTCAGTGGTTGAGTGTCGACCTAAGAATCAGGAGTTCATGGTTCAACTCCTAGTCAGGGCATATGCCGTGTTGCAGGCTCAATCCCAGTGTGGAGTGTGCAGGAGGCAGCCAATCAATGATTCTCTCTCATTGATGTTTCTATCTCTTTCCCTTCCTCTCTGAAATCAATTTTTAAAAATTATTTTTTTAAAAAACAGTTTTATGAAGAAAAATTCAGAGCACTAAAAAAAAAAAAAGTGCTCTGGCTAGGCAATCATAAAGAAATTTTTTTTTTTTAAAAAGGGAGAACCAAGTATAGGTGTTTACCTATGTTGTCATACTTGTTGCCTCTCAAAACCACATCAAAATTACAACTAAAAGGTAGAACAACTACACCCAGAATCACAGAAAAGCTGGCTAAGTAGAAGTTCCACAACTAGAGGAGTGAAGAAAGCACATGAGACTGATACGAGGTGTGGAAAGTGCTGGCACCTAGATATTCTACTCTTTTAATTGAAAGGGAGATACAAGTTCCCGCTTGCTTTGAATTCTAGTTCAGGGCAAGACTCTGGGACCCAGACACGTGGGGAGAAACTGGACTGTTTAACATTGGGCTAGAACACAAGGGCGGCTTTATCTCAGAGGAGCTCGCAGCGATCATTGTTCTGCATAAGGGCGCAGACTCAGAGACCCGGGACTCTGTTGCAGGGCTGACTGGCAACCATTGCTGTTTGCTTCTCCCTGTGATTTCCAGAGACCCCACACAAGCTGTGCACATCTGCTTTTGCATAGGAATGGCCTGTCCTTTCTCTGCCTAAAACCTGTCGAACTGCAGCTGGGTCAGAAAGCCTCAAGGCTTCCAAAAGAAGGCTCAAAGCCAGGCAGCAGTAGCCTGCCTTGCTTCACAGCTGGGCCTCATCTGGGCACTTCCAAATGCCATACAAAAAGGAGCGATCTGCAGATGCCTCTGTAGCTCGGGCTGAGTGGCCCCAAACAGTGGCTGACCTGGCACCTCCTTGGAGATCAAGAGCCAGTGTGAGACCATACCAGATTACAACTCTTCACATCTATAAGGGACACGCTCACGGAACAGACTCGGTGAGCACCAAAGCTCCACTGAAGCAAGTCCTGCCCCATAAGGGCATCATCTGTGCAACAGATCTTCCAGTATAGACACAGCAGTTATTACACCCAATTGGCCTAGAGGTCAATTCCTCTCAGTGTAATCAACAGCAATCAAGGGTTAAATACAAGACTGTACACACAGCCCATAACGGGGTGCACCAAGATCATCCACCTCAGGTAATGGAAGGCTGAGCCACTGTGCACTATAGGATACATACCACACAAGGCCATCTATCAACTCAAGGAGACTTAGCAGCTACCCAGTACATAGAAACAAACATAGTGAAGCAGCCTTTGGAGATAAATCACAAATGAAAGAAATGGATGAAGGCAAAATATTGGATATAATAGTTCAAAACCACCATTTAAAGAATCTTCCACAAACCTTTCGAAAAATTTAGTGAGACTCAAGGATATGAAAAACTATCAGTCAGAAATGAAACATACACTGACTGAAATAAAGAAGAATATACAGAGATTCAACAGCAGACTAGAGGTTCCCAAGAATCAAGTCAAAGATTTTAAATAAGCTAAAACAACCAGAAAGAAATAGACTTGCAAGTCCAGGAAGTGCAGAGAAATCCAAAGAGGACCACACCAAGACACATTATAATTAAAATGCCAAGGGCAGCCGAAACCGGTTTGACTCAGTGGTAGAGCGTCGGTCTGCAGACTGAAAGGTCCCAGGTTCGATTCCGGTCAAGGGCATGTACCTGGGTTGTGGGCACATCCCCGGTAGGGGGTGTGCAAGAGGCAGCTGGTTGATGCTTCTCTCATTGACGTTTCTAGCTCTATCTCCCTCTCTAAAAAAATCAATAAAATATATTTAAAAATAAACAAATAAATAAATAAAATGCCAAGGGCAAAAGACAGAATATTAAAAGCAGTAAGGGAAAAACAGTTACCTACAAGGGGGTAGCCATACGACTGTCAAAAGATTTCTCAACAGAAATTCTGCAGGTCAGAAGAGTGGTAAGAAATGTACAAAGTGATGAATAGCAAGAACCTAAACCAAGATTACTCTACCCAGCAAAGCCATCATTCAGAATTAAAAGTCAGATAAAGAGCTTCACAGACAAGAAAAAGCTTAAAGGAGTCCATCACCACCAAACCAGTATTATATGAAATGCTGAAGGGTATTCTTTAAGAAGATGAAGAAGAAAAAGATAAAGAGAAAAAATTATGAACAAAACAGTGACAATAAATGCATATCAACAAGTGAATCAAAATCAAATGAATAAAAAACCTGATAGACTGGTGAATATAATAGAATCAGGGAGCAGACAGGCAATTCTTAGGGGGGAAGGGTGTGGGAAGAGACTGGACAAAGCTTGCACCTATGGATGATCTCAGTGGGGTGGGAACTTGGGGGGGGGGGGGAACGCACTACACATCTGTAATAGAACAGTAACGATTTAAAAAAATAATTTTCCCTGTTAGAATGAGTTTCATGCTGCATGTTATTCTTGAGGCTATAAAAGATTTATTTACTTTTTTTGACCCAGTTTATTTCAGGTAGTTCTATAACAGCTGAGACTCTATAAAAAGACACTTTAAAAAAACCAAAAACTTTGAACATTAAAACAGTATACTGTAGTTACAGTGATTGCATAAACTAGAATTGTACAAACTAGGATGCTATTTGGAATAACTGGAAATCATTTTGTGACAACATAATGTGGTCAGGACCTCACTATGAAAAAGCTTCACCATTTTAGCCCTGACCGGTTTGGTTCAGTGGATAGAGTTGTCAGCCTGCGGACTGTAAGGCCCCAGGTTCAATTCCAGTCAAGAGCATGTACCTTGGTTGCAGTCACATCTCTAGTAGGTGTGCAGGAGGCAGCTGAAGTTTCCCTCTCATCGATGTTTCTAACTCTATCCCTCTCCCTTCCTCTGTAAAAAGTCAACAAAAATATTTTTTTTTAAGTCTTCACCATTTTAAAGATTTAAGCATGTTAAGGTTAAAAATCATTATGTCCAACTTGTGGTTTCACAATGGGCAATATGCCAGAGATGTTCCGTGTGTGTGTGTGTGTGTGTGTGTGTGTGTGTGTGTGTGTGTACACGTGTGTGTGTGTGTGTGTACACGTATATTTTTTTCTTTAAATCTTCAGAGGATCCTAACCACTAACCTGCCAGCCTGCTCATCCCCAACTGTCCCCCCCCCCTTGCTGGCCTGATCGCCTCCAACTGTCCATCCCCCTCATGCCAGCCTGCTCGACCCCCACTGCCCTCGCCTGCCTGCCTGTTTACCCCCAACTTCCCTCCCCTCCTGGCCTAATCACTCCTAACTGCCTCTGCTTCTACCCCACCAACCACGCCTTTATCCAGAAGGCCTTCCGGTCTAATTAGCATATTACCCTTTTATTAGTATAAATGTACACATATATTTATACATATATGTAGTGTATAGGTTACTAATCATGAAACAAGTCTTTGGGCAGATCTTAAAATAATAGTCTTTGCATTTTATTTAAAATAGGTACTGTAACAGATAAACGTGAATGAACGATCAAAAAAATAGTGGCCCCTGCCCACCAGTCACTACCAGGGAACTATAGACTTTACATGAAGCATTTTTAAATTCTTTAATTGAATCAACATCATGTTTATATCTTCACCTTAGTTAAATTATGTGGGTGTGATTTTTTTTATGAATAGAGATGGTACAATGCAAAAAAAATATTAAAAATTCTAATTTTTGTATCATTACAGGGTTTTCTGACACTAGTGAAAGCTTGAATTAGCAATTCAGATCCTCTGCTTTTGTCTTTATAAGCTGTACTTACAGTAGATATAATTTTATATTAAAATGAGGGGATTTGATCAACCAGGGCAGACATGGAATTATTCAAAGGCTTGGGAAGAATATTATAAGGAGCATGGTATTGTCTTTATTAGAAATTATATTCTTTTGGTCTTTTATTTGTGGTTACAGTAACAAAGTTCTGTTTTCTCAAAGGTCAAGCAGTTCCTGCTCCTACTGGTGCTCCACCAGGTGGTCAGCCAGATTATAGTGCAGCCTGGGCTGAATACTATAGACAGCAAGCAGCCTACTATGCCCAGACAAGTCCCCAGGGAATGCCACAGCATCCTCCAGCACCTCAGGTATAATAAATTTGCTGATGTTTTAAAAACTCGTTATATTTTCTGCATGTTTACTATTTTGTTTGTTTGGGATTGATTATGTTTGCCTTTTTAATTTTTATATGGCAAAATATAACTAAATGAAGGACTATGGTGTACTGTTGGGTTGCTTTTGGCTTTGTTTTTTATAATGCTTTATGGCATCTGAGTGCTGAATATTTCTATAATGCCTTTAATTTTTAAAATAAATTTTTTTCCCCCAGGGATTTGCAAATCATGCAAGAAGCCACCACCATTTATATTAACCAGTTTTTCTTTCTTAAAGGATTCACTCCTGAGTTAGCTCCATTTAAAGGATTTTCTTTAACTTTTTGTGTATTTCTTATGTATCTCTTCTGCACAGGGCCAATAATAAGAAGTGGACAATACAGTATTTGCTTCATTGTGTGGGGGAAAAATACCTTTGTTAAATATATGGATGCAGACGACTTGATGAAGATCTTAATTTTTGTTTTTGGTTTAAAATAGTAGTTTTTTTTTTTCTTTTGAAAATGTACAAAATATCTATCACTACTGATAGGAGGTTAATATTTCTGTGTAGAAATGAAAATTGGTTTGTTTTTAGTATTTAGTGTAGATGTACACATTCCAGCAAATGTATTTGCAACTATTATGTGGTCAATGCTTTGTGATATAAATGTACTTTTTCAATGTATACTTTCACTTTTAAAATGCCTGTTTTGTGCTTTACAATAAATGATATGAAACCTCCTGTGTCGGTAAGTTGGATATGTGGGTATTTAAAGAATTCATAATTTCTTAGCAATGATAAATTAAGATACATATACACAAATATATAAGCTTTCCCCGTGAAATATTAATTGCATTTTTAAACACTGGCATGTTTTTTTTTTCCCCCTTACAGTATAGTAATAGATTGGAGGATCTTTTCCATTTATTGTATTTGGCTGTTTCAGCACAAGTAATCCTGATATCGTCTTTTTTTTTTTTTTTTTTTTTTCCTGTTTGATTAAAAACTGCATGTGTGTACAATGATCTTTTGGCATACTTCCATTGAATTAACAGTGAAATTTCCTTTTATACATGACCACTGTTTCAGACCTGTACTGCTGCTATAACAGTTAACCTTTCTGTTCTTAATTACTTGATTTCCAAGACTGTTTCAGCATAACTAACTTTAAACAGTTTTCAGATAGTGAATATGAATAGTCTAATAAGAACAGTTTTTTGTGGTTTTTTTTTCATGTGAAGCAACTCTTTCAATGTATACGATATTAGTGTGTTTCTTTCTAAATTAAGGATAGAAAAGTGAATAGTTTGCAAAAAAGTATAATAGTTATAGTTCATCTGCCATTGAAACATTATTGGGATATGGAAATGTTCAAGCTCTCTTTTTTTTTTTTGCAGTATAGATAAGCTTTGTTTTGTTAATGCACAAGTCCAGTCATTGAATCAACTTAATTTTTTTATGTACTTGAAATCATTTTATTATTCTATGACACTCATGCTGAAGTTTTAATATTTTGTTGAAATCCATTGTTTTACTCTGCATATTTGTTGGCTCTTTGCATATTAATATATTAGACTACATGCAAATACAGTCTGTCTTGCCATTGTCTGTTGAAGTGCAGGTTTGATCGAGCCAGTATAGAACTAGCTCTGTAGGGGTGAGGAGGACTGTGCTGTGTATCATCCTTGATTGTGTTCCTTCAAGGAGCATTGCACTGTAAGTACATCAGAATGACAAATTGATGAACTGCAACAGTATCTTTTTGTCAATGTTCCACATAATGTAAATGCCATACTTTGTGTGAATATTATGTTGGAATACAGTGCTGATATCTTGGAAAACCATAACTGCTTCTTAATTTAACATAGAATAATACATAGGTCTTTTTTTTAAAGTGAGCTCAATGGGTAAGTATTTTTTATATACTTTAGCTATAGCTAAAGAAAACTGATCATTAACAAAATTGAATAGTATTACTCATTGGTGCTCCTAAAATATATTGTTTTCAGTATAATATATGCATATTTTGTATATTAATAATGAAAGACTTGAAATGTATCAGACAGAAGTGGTTTTCAGTTTGCAAATATATTAAGCAATATAGCAGTTTTAATACCATTTCATAAATATGTTCTTTCATTGATAGGGAGCACCATTGTTATTTTGAATATACTGTAAAGGAAGATGTTCAAAAACATAAATGTTGAGATTACGTAGGATAGAAAATTAGCAGTACAGTTCATTGTGGATATTTTGAAATGTTTTTGATTGTTTTATAGAAGTTAGAGTGACTTCCATTACCCTTATGTAGATATGGATATGAAGCTCTAGTTTGAAGCTTAATCCTTAGGGAGTTAGTTATTTGTTATCTTTAAGAGTAGGGTATTGACATGAACAATTTCAGTATTTTGCATGATACTGTTTTATAGATGACCTTTAGGAAAGTGGTACATTTATTAAACTGAAGAGATAGTTCAGTTAGATTCATTATCATAACTCACAAATTGGAGGCTGTTGATTTTGATTCATTTAAACTTTAAAATCTTTATTAATTGCAAACAGTGCAATTATTTATGCTTCACAGTGCCTTCCCAGACCTTCCACCTTAGGTTCTGCTGCAAAAAGCAACAGGTAAGCACAACCTAAGGACATATATAAATAAATATTTCAATACATTAATGTTGTCCCTGTGAGGTTTTTGTGGTTGTGTATTCCAAAGCAATCTGCGACTGTTTCCCCAAAATGCACCTTGTTATTTATGCTACTATTTCAGTGGAAAGTCTGTAAGTTGTTCAAACAGCTGTTTACATTTCTAGGTAATGTTTATTTTATTAAACAAGAAAGAATGATGAGTAGATTGCTGCTGTAATTGAACTACATCACCCTTTGTAATCTTTTCCCACAGAAAAATTGTTACATTTAAGAAAAGGCAATTATATTGATTTTAAGATTTAGGAAGTCACTTGGTCAGAAAGTTCAACAGCCTTCACAGTCTATTTAAGATTGATAGGACATTTTCTTTGCCCTCCAAAGCTATGGAGTCTTTATTTTTTTCTTATTCTTGAACTAGAACAATTCAGTAAGGCCATTATGGGTGAGAGTTTCATTATATCTCCTTTTTAGACAGTTTGGGTTTTAAAACTTTTATATACACTGAAAAAGGAAAAAATTATAAAGAAAACTGGCAGTATGTTTTGATAAAAAGCATGTGCATCAGTGAAATGGTAACTGTTTAGCAAATAACCTTGCATAATCTGTGTAGCAACCAGTATTTTTCTGATTTATAATATTTTAACTGACGCTGAATTTCATTTTTTTGCCAGTTTAAAATGTTTGTGTGTTCTTATTGATTTTAACTGGTACATATTTTGAGTTAAGATGAATGTTTTAAAGCAGCATCTTATCAGTTTTGTTTATTCTATTTCTAAAATGTGCTGATCCTTTTAAAACTCCTGCTTATCTCTACAACAAAGAAAAATATTCAAAAATACTGCCTTCATTTTCACACACAGTGCTGAAGATGCTGCAAGCACCAAATCATAGCTCATAAAATCAGGTCCTGAGATAGTTACCCATAAAGAGGAATCCTTTGAGTGTATGCCATTGGTGAGCCGATGAGCATGGACCATAGAAGGGCTCAATGTAGAAGGTAAAATTGGCGAATCATAATTGAGAAATATGAAATGTATTCCCATACATGATATGGTATAGGGTATAATGTACCTGCATTTGATCACTTCATTTTAAAGTGTTATTCACTTGCTCTTAAATGTTCCATGAACTGTTAAGTTTCATAAGTTAATGTAGTTATTGCACCGTGTGTGTGTGTGTGTGTGTGTGTGTGTGTGTGTGTGTGTGTGTGTGTGTGTGATTGATAGTCAATGATAGGTATGTTAAGATAATATAAAGGAGCTCTTTGAACTTGCAGAGATTGTCAATTTTAGGTTAGCTGTAGCTTGCATTTTTTACAAAAGAAAATATAGATGAATGCTAATAGATACTGGGGCGTTGTTTCTGTCTTATGAGAATATCATTACCACAAGCCTTCACTGATACTGCAAGCATTTTTTTTTAATGGCGCTAATCTTAACCTTTAAATTAATGGAAAGCAGAAAAGGTGAGCCAGTTCGCTTGAATGCAATGGGTATTAGGAGTGGTAGAAACAATGTTTAGTTAGATTGAAATTGAACTGATTTATTTTGCACATAAAATTTTGAAATTTTTTTTAAAGATCTATTAGTGTGATACCTAGAATTCTTATGTTTTGATGTTTCTTTTAGAAATGAGAAGTATGCTTTTAACAAATGGTTTTAAAACTAGAACTAGTCATTTAATACTAGTTGTTTATAGACATTGTAAAATATATCGTTAGACAAATACCTTGATAGTTAATTCAGTAGGGTGGGTTTGGGTAGAAGCAGCAGGGTACCTTAATAGAGAAATAGGAATATACGCAGGAGGGATAACATTTCATTTGTGTGAATACTCTGCCAAGAGAATCAGTTCTGTCTGCAAAGTTGTCTGTTGTTTAGAATAGGGATATAGAAATTAGTAATCAATGAGGATGTCTTATTTTTAGTGCTTGAAAATTCTGCCTCATTTTAAAATGTATTTTAACAATACCTAGAAGATCATTTTGACTCTGAAAATAACCTTATTTTTTGTTTAGTCACTTGAGTTTTATTGCCACAGTATAAACTTCTGAGGGATTTTTTTACATTGGTGTTTCTGAGAAGCAAATAAATCCCAGGGTTTTATTTTCTTCATTTATACCCCTATAGAAACTCTTAAATGTACTTGCACATATATATTTTTTTTCTTATGCATGCTCAATGCATTTTCGTCCTGAGAAAAGTGTTCTCTACAGAAACTACCCGTGTGTAAAAAGAAGATTGGCTTAAAATGGCTACTGTGATGGGAACAGTGTCTTAGGGAGATGCAGCTTGGACTGGAGGTAAATTGAATACTTTACAAACTGTGGTTTAGAGTTTGCTTTAATAACATTGTATGTAAAAGGACACGTGATTGCTGTAATTTTGTATTATGGTTTCTTCAATAAAAAAAAATAAATGTACATTGATGAATATTATAAGGGAGTGTTTTGTCTTTTTTAAAATATTGAGACTTTTTTTTTAATATAGAAGTTACTTTATTATGGGTTTACATTGTAAAACAAAATTGTCTTCCAGAAAATTAAAATATAAAACAACTTGATGATAGAACTTTAATTATTTACAAACTCATTTTAAAGACCAGAATTTAAAATTGAAGATTGTGCCATCCTCTCCCTCCCCCCCCAAAAAAAATATCCTCTTGGATCTTAAAATCTTCAATTATATTGAAAGTGTTTTTCTCCTATGTGACTACTAATACAGAGTTTCTCATTGAAATGTCATTTATTCAGGCAAGGTTTCAACATAAATTGGCTTTATTAGCTTGAACATATATTACATACATTTGAAAAGTACATTTAATATTCTCAGCACTCAGAACTTTGTATAGGCAGTGGTTTTCATCCAATTTTCTCTGGCATTTGTTTCTTAGAAGTCTTTAATTTTGTGTTTTTCTCCATTCTCCTCACCCATAAAAAGAGTGGTATCCCCAACCCCATCCTACATCTGCTTCAGAAAGGCTCTGAAACTACAACCTAAATGATGTACTAAGGGAAAAACTCCCGCTCAAATTGATAGGTTCCAAATTCACTATCTCGGCTATTTCAGACTAATTTTAGTTGTAAATAGCTCATTGATGGCATTCTTTCATGCAAAATAATGTGTTGTTTTTGATACTTTTAAATATTGCTGTGAACATAGGGTAAATGCACAGCCTAAGTTCTGATATAATTGAGAAAATTTCCTACTTTCCCCATTAAATGTGCATTAACTTATGTATAATCTGGCGATGAGTCTGGTGCTCATTTGGAAAGGAGGAAGGTATTCTTTAGATGAGCTTGTGATTTGAAGACTTATGAAAAGGAATAAGAAGTCAACATTGTGGCACTTCTGGTTTCCTTTTTTGGCCCCGCCACAGAAAAGATGGATGTAGTAAGAAAGTCGGAGAGAGAAAGAGAGTTCCAGGCAGAGGGAAGGGGAGCTAGTAGTCATCAGCTAAAAAAGAAGAAGAAAAGTAATTCTTTTTAAAGGGAAATTTTTAAAAATAGAATAAAAGTATTAGATTTTTAAGTGATTAACTCTTACTTTCAATTGTAAGAATACAGGTACTAGCTGCAGAGCCTTTATTGTTGACAGCTTTACACATATACTCTCCTTCATCTTCTGGGAAAGTTTCTGGTAAATAAAGGCAGTACGTTTCTCCCCTTTCAATATATTGATAGTCTTCTCCATCCTGCAATATTTCTCCTTCAAACCACCATGTAATTTCTGGTTTGGGCTCTCCTGTTACTTTAACTGTAAATCTAACAGGCTCACTGTCTACAACCGAAGTATTTTTCAGAGGCTTCTTGAACCATGGAGCTCCTGACCTGGTTTGCTCTTCGTCTTCTATAATGGAGCCATTCATGATGCTACCTTCCTCTTCTTCCTCCTCTTCTCTTTTCTATATTAAAATTAATGCATTCAAGTGGTCACTTTTAGTATAGCAGCATTTTCAGGATAGTAGTTTAATCACAAACTTTGAGGTAAATAGGTTTTGGGAGTTTTTTTGCTCTTAGAGTCAAGAGCATGTAAGTACAGTTATGCACCTCTTAACAACAGTATATTCTTAGAACTGCATCATTAGGTGATTTGGTTATTGAGCCAATATCATAGAGTGCATATACACAAACCTAGATAGTATAGCCTATTGCTTCTAAGCAATAAACTTGTTACTGTACTGAATACTGTAGGCAGTTGTAACAGTATTTGAATATGTAAACATCTAACCAAAATGTACAGTAAAAATAACTGAAATGTTTCCAATTTTTTTCCCCCCCCCTCATATAGAATTGACTTCAGAGCATCTTTGGAAAATAAAGGCTAAGTTTGGTACCTTTTGTAGTGCTGCATCAATTTCCTTTTGTTCAAACTGCATGCGTAGTAACTTCTGTTCTTCAATTCTTCTTTGTTCTTCTTCTTCTCTTGCCTTAGCCATTTGTTCAAATCTAGCTTTCATATTCACTTTATGAGTAAACGGAGCCTCACTTTTTTTTGCAGGCTTGACATCAACATCTTCTTCCTTTACAAAAGTGGGCCAAGAATAAGAGTTGCTTGTTTTCCAAGAACTAAGTATTAATAGTCCTGAAATTGTCATTTATAATAGACACAAAATAACTAATGTTTTGTATACATTACTTGTACTACACTATAGACAGAAGTTTTCACTATACCTTAGTTTGGGAAAGATTAAATTTTTATTTGTGAAATGTTCTCTTAACAAATGGAATCTTTTTCTCCCAATGTAAAGATAAAATATCAGTGGGATCCCAGTATCTTTATTTCCCAATTGTCTGTGTTTGTTGACCAGACTAACAGTGGGGATACTACATATCACAACAAAATACTCCCATACTCCCACTTCATGATTTCCTTCACCACCCTGCATAGTTAATAAGTATTATTCCAATGAATTCCATTAAACAAATTTATTGATGGTCAGATGGCAAAGAGTGCAGGTAGAATATATGGGAAAACAACTTCAAGTGATGACGAATTTGGGACAATCACTGAGGTGAAGAGTGGTTGTGAAACATTTAGGAGTAAGAGTTGGGAACCATGGAAATAAAAATTGAGAGTAAGTATTTAACTCAAATAGTTTGAGTCAATAAAAAACTAGAAGGCCATGAGATCACTGATGACCTTAGAGATTCTAAAGTACTTTAGTCATATTTGACATTTTTGAAACTAGGTTTTTTATGGGTCAGTTTAAAAATAGTCACCATGTATATTATAGAATAAGAAATTGCTCTATAGTACCACATCAACTAAATTTTGAAACAAACTAGTTTCCTATAGTGAAAACTTGGTTTATGGGTGTTTTACATCAATTTGAGGTATTGCAGCTAAGTTCCAGTGCATGTAGGAGGAGGAATTAGAATAACTTGGATAGTTTTCTGACTTCTCTTGAATCAGGTTTTTACGTGATGTTGGAAAATATTTGGGCATCAGAAAACCAGATACCTGTTGGGTAAATTCTATTATACGTGCCATAATTTACCTTTAGTTGATAAACATGCCTGCCTATAGCTATTGCTAATGAAGGATGTTCTGAGGAGGGCATTGTTATTCAAGTTTTTAAATAGGCTAAAAAGTATATGTTAATAAGAATTCTTCTGAAGCTAATTGGGGGAAACTTAAGAACAATCTGCCAAAACCGGTTTGGCTCAGTGGATAGAGCGTCAGCCTGTGGACTGAAAGATCCCGGGTTCAATTCCGGTCAAGGGCATGTACCTTGGTTGCAGGCACATCCCCAGTAGGGGGTGTGCAAGAGGCAGCTGATCGATGATTCGCTATCTCATAGATGTTTCTAACTCTTTCCCTCTTCCTTTCTGTAAAAAATCAATAAAATATATTTTTAAAAAAGAATTTTCTGTTATTAAATGCAATTGTTTTTTGTTTCGTTTTGTCTTTTAGAGAGAGAAGCATTGATTTGTTGTTCCACTTATCTGTGCATTCATTGGTTAATTTTTATATGTGCTCTGACCGGCGATCGAACTCAAAACCTTGGTATATTGGGATGGTGCTCTAACCAACTAAGCCACATTTTAAAATGTTACAGAAAATGAGTCTCCTATCATAGTAAAAGAATAACTTTTGTTCTCTAAGTGCATTCTTAAGAGGACATTGACACCCCAGCACATGAATATTAAGGACAGTATAATTAGGCAGTAAATTTAAGATAAAAGAGAGTATAAGGAAATGGTTTTGGAATATACCTTATTAGAAAAACAAAGCCAAATACTATAAGGCAATTAAAATATTTAAGTACCAAATGTGGTATGGGTTAAGGGCTTTCTTGATTAGGGAAGGTTACATGAGTGAGTTGTTACTTAAAAGATGTCTGGAATAGAAGAGATACTGAACATTGACATTTTCTAAAGGTGAAAACTACACGATTAGAGGGATGAGGGGGGCAGTCCCATTCTGGAAGTTGATTGCACTCAATGCCAAAACTGCTAACAAGGTTTTAAAGGATATCTCAATGACTAATCTAGAGGGATATGATCAGAGGAATGTCAACATTCTTCACAGGAAACTTCAGGGCATCTACATGGGTTATAGATCAACTATGTCCTACCTTTTAACCAAAAGAGAACCAATAAATAGCAATAGAACAAGAAGTAACCATTTCTTTCTAGCTTACATATTTTATAGGGCTAAGTATTACTGCTCTGAGGTTTCACTACCTTTAACAAAGGGAATCAAGTGCGTGCTTATTGAGGAACTTTAGATCAACATTTATCTTTATAAAGAACCACTTTGGCCAAACAAATGTTAAATGTTGGTGTTCTCCAGGGTTTTATAATTTACTCTCAAACTATTAACTGTTTTAAGATGGTTTTATCTATTTCGATACTTCCAAACACTATCCATAAAGGTGACAGTCCCTCGCTCCTTCCTCTCACCTGAGCTCAGTACCTATTTCAGACAGCTTTTACCTTATCTAAATACAGCTCAAACAGTGCAGTCCCAGTGTTCAGAACATACTAGGCTTTCAAGTAAGTTTTTTAATGCATGAATCTAAAACCATCTTTAGATTCAGCATGATCTACCTATAAAGATGCTAACTTGATATTACTACATGTTTTGAAAATCCCTTCAGTTGTACCGCAATAAAAGTTTCTTAACGTGTTATCTCTGACCTTTCATCATCTCACCTATACTTACATCTTCATCATTAGCTGTTTTTGCATGCTGTTTGCCTCAATTATAAATTCTTTTTAGTCTTGAGACTTTGCACATACTTTATATTAATCTCTGATGGCCCTCCCAGCTTCCATACCTGTTTTACTAGTTTAATATCTTATAAAAATGCACTTTTAGAGGAATATTGGTTGAATGCTCTAGCAGAAAAACATTCCCATGTCCTACTTAAACCAATATTCATTACCATGGAGCTAGTCCTCAAACTGGAAAGGACTTTACAGGTCATTTAGTGATCACCTCATCTTACATTTGAGGGTACTTCAAATTCATGCTATCTGAATTTTGATTTATGTTCTGCCACTGAGTTACATAACTTGCATGACTGAGCAAGTCATATAGGGTTTATTGGCCTCATCTTTAAGAGTAAATGAATAATCTTTGGAATTTATTTTAACTCAAATATATATTGGTTGTACTAATTCAAGCTAAAACTTATGCCCATAAATAATTTATTTGTTGGATTTTTTGTTTTGTTTTGCTAGGGTTAAACATTTGATGTTCACTATTGGCTTTAATTCTAATAAAACTCTGAAACAATGCTAGAATGGGAAAATAATTTCAAAGTCTTAACATCTTGATTTTTTTTTTTTTTTTTTTTTTGCTATTTAGCTTCCAAAATTTATTTCAAAGCTAGTGTTACTTCTGCTAAATCATTACAGTATCATAACAATATTAAATATAAAATAGTTTACCTCATGGAAGTGTTCTGCTTCTCGCTCTTTAATTTCAAGGTCAATGGCTCTCCTTCTTGCTCGTTCTTCTTCTATCTTTTTCTGTATTTCTTTTTCAGACAACTGTCCAATTTTTTCAAACTTGCTTTTTAGATTTTTAGCTTGGATAGAACCACTCCTTTTCAATTTGATTAATTCTTCATATTCCCTGCTCAATCCAAAGGTTTCATTTTCTTCCTCTTGCTTAAAAAAAAAAGAAAGATATTAAATACTAGAAAATTAGTTTGTATTATAAACACCCAAAAAAGTGTTCACCGTTTCCTATTTTAAACCAAAAATAAAGGTTAAATAACCTCTCTGAACACAATACCTAAATACAACCTGCTAAAATATGTATATCAAAAATTAACTTGCTGAAACCAGTTTTGCTCAGTGGATGGAGAGTTGGTCTGCGGACTGAAAGGTCCCAGGTTTGATTCTGGTCAAGGGCATGTACATTGGCTGCGGGCATATCTCCGGTGGGGGTGTGTGCAGGAGGCAGCTGGTTGATGATTCTCTCTCATCGATGTTTCTAGCTCTATCCCTCTCCCTCTCTGTGGAAAATCAAATAAGTAAATAAAAATACTTTTTTTAAAAAAATTAGCTTTTATTAGGAATTGTAGAAAGTGCCTCTTTTCATTTCACTCTTCTTTCTTTAATCCCCACCCACGGATATGGTCTTATTGATTTTTAGAGAGGCAGGGAGAGAAACATAGATGTGATAGAGAAACTGATCTGTTGTCTCCCGAATGTCTCCCAACTGGGGATTGAACTTGCAACCTAAGTGTGTGCCCTTACCAGAAATTGAACCCTTGACGTACTGGACAACACAAACCAACTGAGCCGCGACCAGCCAGGGCAGGAACTAATTTTTTTTAAAATATATTTTATTGACTTTTTACAGAGTGGAAGAGAGAGGGATAGAGAAAAACATCAATGAGAGAGAATCATTGATCAGCTGCCTCTTGCACACCCCCTGCTGGGGATTTGCTGCAACCAAGGTACATGCCCTTGACTGGAATCGAACCTGGGACCTTTCAGTCCTCAGGCTGATGCTCTATCCACTGAGCCAAACCAGTTTCAAAAGGAACTAACTTTTTATACCATTTTATTTTGAAAACTTTTTATTCACATTCCTTTCCCTTGGCTTTTCATAATTTACGATCACTAGTTGTTTTCTAAAATGTATTGTTGAGAGTAGTACCCTATTTCCCTGAAAATAAGACAGTCTCATATTAATTTTTTCTCCAAAAGTTGTGCTAGGTCTTATTTTCAGGGGATATCTTATCTTTCCACGCGCCAGGTCTTATTTTCGGGAAAACATGGTACAAATGTCACCCATTGCTTCCACCCCACCCCAGTCCTTACCTGTCTATTATGATTACTACCCTGTTTCCCTGAAAATAAGACAGTGTCCTATATTAATTTTTGCTCCCAAAGATGCGCTAGGTCTTATTTTCAGGGGATGTCTTATTTTTCCATGAAGAAGAATACGGTGCACATTTATTGTTAAATGAAAATAAAGGAAATTTATTACCTGTATACGGTACGGTAGTTGTCAACACAAACCAGACAAACTGAATCCTACAGTATCAAGAATTTACTCATTTATTCAATTACAATCATGTCATCCTCTGGAACATCATCATAATAATCTAATTCCTGAATTTCCTGGTGAATTTCTTGTGACTCCATTTCTTTCAGAATCAGTGGATCAAATCTCTCATGTTTAGCCTAGGGGGGCCTTATTTTTGGGGGGATGCCTTGTAAGTAGGTCTTATTTTCGGAGGATGTCTTATTTTCGGGGAAACACGGTAGTTTGTATTCTTCTTACACTAAAACCTAATCTGACTAAATGGAATGGTAAAATATTGCTGTTAATCCTGGTAAACTTCCTGGAGAAGACCTACAGTTTTAGACTCGGGGGGCAAAAAGAACAGGAATGGGGCAGGGGAGGTAGTCACAGTGGATGTGACATGAAACTTAATGGCTCATTCAAGGGGGAAAAAACATGTCTTTACACTACCTCTATTTTTTCACCTAGGAGTAAAAACAGACTACTTAAAATACTAGAAACTGCCGAAACCGGCTCAGTGGTAGAGCATCGGTCTGCAGACTGAAAGGGTTCCATTCCGGTCAAGGGCATGTACCTTGGTTGCGGGCACATCCCCGGTAGGGGGTGTGCAAGAGGCAGCTGGTCGATGTTTCTCTCTCATCGATGTTTCTAGCTCTCTATCTCTCTCCCTCCCTCTCTGTAAAATATCAATAAAATACTAAAAAAAACAACAAAACAAAAAAACTAGAAACTAACAAATTTATGATATTCATTTTCAGCTTCCTTTTCCAAATAAATGCTATAATTTAGGCTAGATCTTAGAGTATTTGCCTATAGCATACCAATTTTATTAACTATACCAGTGACCCGGTGCACAAAATTCATGCACATTAAAAGGGAATTAACTAGAAGAAATATTGCTATTTTCCTTTTCTCAATAATTGAAGTGTCAGAGATTAAAGAAAATTATGCCAAGACCGGTTTGGCTCAATGGATAGAGCGTCGGCTTGGGGACTGAAGGGTCCCGGGTTCGATTCCGGTCAAGGGCATGTACCTTGGTTGCGGGCATATCCCCAGTAGGGGGTGTGCAAGAGGCAGCTGATCGATGTTTCTCATCGATGTTTCTAACTATCTCTCTCCCTTCCTCTCTGTACAAAATCAATAAAATATTTAAAAAAAAAAAAAAAAGAAGAAGAAAATTAGTAAAATGTAAAATGTATATGAAAAGCTTCCTCCAGTCAGTCTGGAGCTCACCATGGACCCAGAGTCAAGTCCCTGCCCACCTCAAAATCGCATGAGACTCAGATCTGGCCACCCTCCCCCACATCCAGATCTGGCCAGTCCCATCTTGTCAAACCCTGCTGGGCAGGGGGCATCGCCTCAGGTCCCCTAGCTCCAAGGCCAGGATAGGGGGCTTGGCCTGAGGTCCCCTAGTCCAGCACTGGGGGGTTCACCCTGAGGTCCCTCTCCAGCCCTGCTGGGCAAGGGGTGCAGTCTGAGGTCCTCTGGCCTGGTGCCAGGACAGGAAGCACACCGTCAGATCCCCGCCGGGTGGGGGGCACAGCCTGAAGTCCCCTATCACACACTGCCGGGTGGGCCCTCTCTGTCTTCTCTGCACTGGGAGCAGCTCCCCTCATCCCCTGAAAATGTAGGCCTGCACCAAGTGGGTCTCCACCCTCTCCCTGGTCAGGAGACCTCTCAGCTGAGCAGGTCAATGTCGGCAGTGGTGCTAAAACGACCAGAGACACTGACAGAGGAGAACCGCAGCAGCTTGGCAGTCCCACGTCCCCTGACCTCGCTTGTCTCTAGCCACAGCTTCCAAACCAGTTTCATTTCAAGGGACATCGACACAGCAGCCACGTGCATTGGGGCTGGGGCTGCCACAGTAGGGGTGGCAGGCTCTGGGGCTGGAATTGGGACTGTGTTTGGGAGCCTCATCGTTGGTTATGCCAGGAACCCTTCTCTGAAGCAACAGCTCTTCTCCTGCGCCATCTGGGCTTTGCCCTCTCAGAGGCCCTGGGGCTCTTCTGCCTGATGGTGGCCTTTCTCACCCTCTTCGCCATGGGAAGGAGCCGTCTCCACCTCCCATCGTTCTTTTTCCCGTGTCTCGTCTGCCCTGTGTGCACCTTTTCCTATACCTCCCAGGCAGCCTGGGGAAAGTGGTTGGCTCAGGGTTTGACAAAAGGAAGACAAATAAATACTGTATTAATAAGAAAAAAAAAACAAAAACACTGCCGGGTGGGAGACACGGCTTGAAGTTCCCCAGCCGATGTCCCCTAGCCTAGCACCAGGATGGGAGGCACACTTTTGAGGTCCCCTGTCAAGCCCCTAGAGGGCAGGGGAGGGCATAGCCTCAGGTCCCTGCTGATTGCTTAAGGTTCCTTAAGGGGACTTGGCCTCAGCTGTAGGTGCAGCCATCTTTGTGACAGAGTGATGGTTAATTATCATATTCCCTCTTTACTAGATAGGATGTTTATACACTAGTCTTGGTTAGTGGGGGCAAGGAAGTAAATATACTCACAGGCCCAGTGCCCTAACCCATGACAAAGAGGGAATTTCTAAGAAATTGCAACCACTGCATAGGAACCCCACAGTTCCTAGATCAGGAGGAATAGGCAAGGGGCTCCCACCAAGTCACCTGCCAAACATGCCATGTCACTGCTAGTCCAAGGTTGCGATAGCCACTGGCACCTTGCCCTGAGTTGGGCTGTGTGCTGTTCCCCAGCTCTGCTCATTTACTGTCAGCCCCTCCCCATCCGGGACAGAGGGCGACTTGGAATGCTGACCCCTTCCCTCCCCCTTCCCTCTCTGCCCATGCAATTGGCTATCCATTCAGATGGAGAGCTGCAGCATCCAAGGGCAAAAAGGAGAAGGTTAAGTAGGGCCTGAGGGCATCCGTAGGTGGGAAGAGGGCTGCTGAGAAGCCACCAGAGGCAGGCAGGATATGTGGGTGAGCCAAGGCTCTAAGACTCAATTCCATTGTCCAATTGGCTTTCCCAACACAAATTCAAAGTATATCATTAAACATTTCAAGACGGCAACCTAAGAGAATTAAATCACTAAACATGACCCTTCTGAACATGGGGTCATATGAGGGCACAAGCTGCATGCCCATGCAAACAGCCCTATACTGTGTGTGTGTGTGTGTGTGTGTGTGTGTGTGTGTGTGTGTGTGTACACCTCATTTCAACAGAGGAGTCACACTAAAATGTGACAGCATCAGAGATTTATCTTTAGTAAAATAAAGTGACTCAAACACTTGCCAAACTGATGTTCCTATTAGTATCCATGGCACTCTTTTAGTTTATCAATTTCAAAGATATGAACAAGTATAAATGGGTATATTAAGTACTCCCAATAGCTCTCAATCATGACATAACCACATATAATCATGAGGTCTATGGAAATATATATTTACTTAAGGTATTGTAGTAATATCTCAGTCACTTGCAATCTTCTATATTTTTTAAACTACCAAGAAAGATGCTGAGTTATGTGAGCTAGAAAGTGCACATAATTGTGGAAACTTGTATCAAGGGTCTCATTGGAATGTGTTGCATGTCCTTTATATGAATAATAAATATTAACGAAGTTATTATGAGAAAATATAGGTAAAATACTTAGATTAATATTTGTGGAATTCAAATGAGTATTTTTCAAACCTTACCTCTCCCATTTCTTGTCTCAGTTGTTCAAATTCCTGTTTTTCCATTTCTAGCTTATGCTTCCGTTCTTCCTCTGTTCGTCGTTTTTCTTCTTCCATTTTTTGTTTTAATAATTCTTCAAAATTAAATTCCAGTTTTCCCGGAGTAAGAGATTCTTGAGAGATTGTCTTATACATCTCTGGAGAGTCATCATCTATTACCTATATAAAATAGTTTTTTTATTACTCTTATCAGAATTATGCTTACTAAAAAGGGAATATTTCTTGTAGAAACTTTGATTACTGAAATACAAAGGTTGTACATTGAACTGAAAACCAGGAGACCTAAATTATCTTCAAAAGTACAAAACAAAAAATGGGAGGAATTATTGGAAAATGTAAACTAAGGTATTTTGTGATTACAGAGGAAATAGTGACCATCTATTCTCCATTCCAGTGAACATGATGAAATACTTTGATTTTATACTATCAGTTATTGGAATTAGACATTAATATCCCCTAATATTAAACATTTTTAGTTGGATTAAAATAAATCTGTGGAATAAAAATAGAGCATTTCAGTTTTGTCTGAAAGAATTAGATAATCCCTCAGGATCCCTTCATAATCAGGCAGAAATTATCCAATGCTATGATTTTATTATACTGATTTATTGATTGATTTATTATTGATTTTAGAGAGGGAGAGAGCATAGAAACATCAGTGATGAGAGAGAAACATCAATCGGCTATCTCCTGTACACCCTATATTAGAGATCAAGCCCACAACCTGACCCTGTGCCCTGATCAGGAATTGAACAATGACCTCCTGGTTCATAGGTTGACACTCAACCACTGAGTCACACTGGCTGGGCTGTACTGATTTACTTATGGTCAGGTGAATTAAAAAATAAATAATAATAGTTAATATAACTGCCAGGTACAATGTAAAGCACCTTACATGTATTGAATTATTTTATCCTGAAACCCTACAAACTAGGAATTATTAATATCCCCATTTTATAGAAACTGAGGCACTGAAAAGTAACTTGTTCAAAGTTAATACAAATAAGTGGTAAAGGTAAGATTCAAGATATTTATATAATAAAATTATAAATAATGATTTAGAGGTTTTTTTTTAGTACTTTCATGAATTCCATGTCTTGACTGCCATTTTTCCCCCCAGGAATTAAGTTATGGGGTGACTTTGGTTAATAAAATTACACGGGTTTCAGGGGTACAAATCTATAATACATCAGCACCCCCAGTCGAGTTTTCTTCCATCATCGTTTATCTCCCCTTTACTGTCTCCTGCCTCCCTCCGCTCCCCTATCCCTCTTGTAATCACCATACTGTTGTCTATTCTAACATTACGTTTAGATGTGACCTTGGGCAAGTAATCTAGCCAAAGTCTGAGTTTCCTTACCTGCAATAACTTTCATGGCATTGTCATGAGAACTAAATAAAGTATGGAAACTCTTAGTTCTGCTTGACACCATTGTAATAACAAAATGGCAACTGTATTATTACATTATCCCCTGTATATAGGCAGTCTCTAAACTGCAATTAGAAACTTTGCTTTAAAATCATTGACTTGGAATATACTTTACCATGAAAAGCAATTACCTACTTCTCTTTTTCTATAATATCTTCTGAAAGTATATACATAAACCTCTGACTTGAAATAGACGTAGGGAAAAGAAAGAGGCAAAGGGCAAATATTTGTTCTAAGATTTATATATGACAGGCTTTACCAAAGAACCAATTCAACTAAGAAACCATGTTTATATGGTATTACCATCCAAAGATTGAAAAAAAAAAATAAAAAATTAGTGATATATGAATTAGCTGATCCATACTATGAAATTATGATACTTGACTCCAGATAAGAAAATAATATAAATGAAGGGGAAACTTTCTCTTTTCTGATTACTAAATGTCTCTAGGAAACTAGATTTTTTGTTTAATACAGTTTTCCTTCCCTGCACTTTTTCACTAGTGAATCACTAGGCCTAAAATCTGCCCCCAGGATGGACTTTCCTGATCTTCACAGCTACTTCTCATTTACCACAAAAAAAAAATAAGTGGTTTCACAATGTTTGCAGGGCTTTGGTATAGAAACCATTTGTGAAGCAAGGATTACCTCACAATGCACATAAGACTGCTTTAATCTCACTTATTCCACAAACATGAACAAGAAGTTTTTTATGCTAGAATACGTTGTTCCACATGCTTGATGAACGGTCTCTGCCTCACTGTGTGAGAAAAACCACCATAAGCAGCAGCAATACAACATTAGTGTTATGCTGAGGGAGTCCTAACGGTTATGAGAATGCATGAAGGGGAGACCTCTGGACACGTGTTATTAGGAAAGGCTTCCCAGAGAAAAATGGAACATATGACTAGGAAATAGAGACGGGAAAGGACCGAGGGACATGTTTCACACAGCATTCATGAGAGCATAGCTTTTTGAAGAACTGGGAAGAAATTTGGCATGTCTGGCAAATCAAAGAAGAATCAAGAAATGAAACCAGCCGGGAGCGGTTTGGCTCAGTGGATAGAGCGTCGGCCTGTGGACTGAAAGGTCCCGGGTTCGATTCCGGGCAAGGGCATGTACCTTGGTTGTGGGCACATCCCCAGTAGGGGGTGTGCAAGAGGCAGCTGATAGATGATTCTCTCTCATCGATGTTTCTAACTCTCTATCCCTTTCTCTTCCACTCTGTGAAAAATCAATAAAATATATATATTTTTAAAAATGAAACCAGAGAAATATAGTAGAGCAAGATTATTTTTAAAAATTGTTTTAAAAGTTTTTGGTTTTTGCTTACAGGAAGTGGAGAATTTTTTAACATCAAATTTACTTTTTTTTTTTTTTTTAAGAAAGATCACTGCTGGCTTTTCAGGGAAGAACCGATTAAGGGCAAGAAAAACTAATTAAGAGTTGGCCCAAGGCAAGGGATGTCAATGACCTCGATTATCGTGGTGGGGGTGGGAAATGTGAGAAAAATGATACATTTTTAGAATAATTCAAGAGGAAAGATAAATAAGACAGGGAGTGATTGGATGTGAGGTATGAGTGAGAAGGTGGAGGTGTGTAAGGCTCCAAAGCTTCTGTGTGAGTATCTAGTTGGGTAAATCAACACTTGGATATATGTGTCTGAAGCTCCCCCAGACACAGGAAGAAAACCAGGCCACTGAAGCCAATGGAAGTGTTTCAAGGAGGAGATGCTGTGTTCACATGTCAACTTTCTTGAAAAGAAAGTTTGTCAGGTAACTGTAGATTTCACAATCATTAAAATGGTATGCGAAGTATAACTCTGTGAGAGTTAAGGTTAGTAGCAATATCCAGCAATGATGGGTGAGCATTTTGGAGTTAAACACTTGTGATTAAATAGCTTCGGATGTCATGGAAATTAAATGTACTGGATGTGATGGAATTGAAAAGAGAGAAAGGAGGAGGAAATGTGGGAAGGAAAGGAGAGTGTAGAGAAGGGAAGGAAAGGTGGGGATGAGAAATTCCCTGTTCAGATACTTAGCCCTGGAAAACATGCTCTCCCAGAGAAAAACCATATTCAACCCTCGATGCCAGTCAAAGCAACTCAGTCAGAACCTTCTCAACACCACATGGAAGCAAACGCCTGAAACTGACAGGTATTACATCACAGGAGACTTAAAAACTATTTGCCATCCCTATTCTTGGCATAAATCTCAGAAACAACAGTGTATTCCCCAAAATTTAATAGTTTCTCTTAACATAATTAAAAACCTGTGTGAATCCTAATGGCTCTCTCCATCTATATTCTATCTTACCATGCTTCTCCGTGCTTCAGCAAATGCCTTCTTTTCCTCCTCTATTCTCCTTCTGGCTTCTTCTTCTGCTTTCCTTTTTTCATCTTCTCTCCTTTGTCTTTCCAGCTCTTCAAAACTGAGTTTGAGTTTCCCAGGGCGGAACCCTTTAAAAATGTTTTCTGTGTCTTTGTTTTCCTCCTCTTCATTTACCTAGCCAAGAAACAACTCTCATTCATCGAAGACAGGAATGAGTTATCAATCAAAGGGCACAGAATCAGCCACCTCAACAGGAACATTTCTTTGCTTTAAATATACTTGACCTAAATCCCCTTGTTTTATAATGTTTATATAACAAAATTTCAAATTTGGACAAATTCCAAATAAATATATACTCAAGTTAAATAAAACTTATCAAGCAAGTCAATTTTCAAATAGATCAGATGAAGCATTTAAAAAAAGTCTAAGAGGTCATTTAAGAGTTATTAAACATTAACTTTTCCAGAACAAACACAGCATGACTGTGTGTGTGTGTGTGTGTGTGTGTGTGTGTGTGTGTGTGTGTGTGTGTAGTTAAACTGAGGTTCAAATATATCTACACAAAGTCTCTTTGGAAATAAAATAAATTTCTCATTAAAAAATATGTGAAAGTCAAATTTTATTTTATAATTTACATTCTAGTTTAACATTAAATCAATTAAAATTTGTTATTTGATTAACTGATGATATTTCTATTTCAGTTCACTAAACTGACAACTAATGATACCTAAAATACATAGATAATATGTAACTATGATTATCCAAAATCCATAATATTTTAAAACAAATGTCTAGAAAATTAAAATTTTGGAGGTATAGTCCTTAGAACATCATTACTTAAAGATGATCAAGAAATTATGAAAGATTTAAAAATTTATAGAGTTCTATTTTTATTTTATTTTTAAATATATTTTATTGATTTTTTACAGAGAGGAAGAGAGAGGGATAGAGAGTCAGAAACATCGATGAGAGAGAATCATCGATCAGTTGCCTCTTGCACACCCCCTACTAGGGATGTGCCCGCAACCAAAGTACATGCCCTTGACCGGAATCGAACCCGGGACCTTCCAGTCCACAGGCCAATGCTCTATCCCCTGAGCCAAACCGGTTTTGGCTAGAGTTCTATTTTTAAATTCTTATGCAATCTGGAATTGGTGTTTTCTTATTTCAGTTTTATTTTTCATTGATAAGTCTATTAATATTATATAATAATAAGAGTTAATATCTTTAAAGCATTTATTATATACTAGACAGTATTATAATTGCTTTTGGTATTAATTCTTTTAACAATTAAGTAGGCACAATTATTTTCACTATTTTATAAATGAGGAAACTAAGATAGGTTAAATAATGCCCATATTATATCTCCCACTTTAATGGGAGATATCTGAACCAGGCAGTCTGGCTCTAAGACTCATGTTCTTAATGATTACACTATGTGTATGTGTGTGTATATATATATATATACTCATGCATGGAGGCAGGTGGGGAGAGGAGTGTTGTCCCTCAGCCCAGCCTGCACCCTTTCCAATCTGGGATCCCTAGAGGAATGTCCAACCGCCCATTTAGGTCCGATCCCGATCAGGCCTAAACGGGCGGTTGGATATAACCCTCTCCCAATCCAGGACTGCTGGCTCCCAACTGCTCACTTGTCTCTGCTTGATTGCCCCTAACCACTTCTTCCTGCCAGGCTGATCACCCCCTAACCACTCCCCTGCCAGCCTGATCAATGCCAAACTGCTCCCCAGCTGGCTCAATTGCCCTTAACTGTCCTCCCCTACAGGCCTGGTTACCCCCAACTGTCCTCCCCTGTTGGCCTGGTCATCTTTAATTACCCTCCCCTGCTGGCCTGGTCATCCCTAACTGCCTTCCCCTGCAAACCTGCCCCAAAAACTGTCTTCCCCTGCAGGTCTGGTACCCCACAACTGCCTTCCCCTGAGGGCCTCAGTCCCCACCCCAAATAAGCTCCCCTGCAGGCCTGGTCTCCCTCCCCTAACTGCCCTCCCCTGCAGGCCTGGTCCCCTTAACTGCCCTCCCCTGCAGGCCTGGTCCCCCCAATTGCCCTCCTCTGCTGGACTGGTCACCCCTAATTGCCCATAACTGCCCTCCCCTGCAGGCCATCTTGTGGCAGCCATCTTGTGTCCACATGGGGGCAGTTATTTTTGACCACATGGGTCCAGCCATCTTGTGTCTTGGAGTGATGGTCAATTTGCATATTACTCTTTTATTATTATAGATAGGATATGTAGATATATATAAAATATATAGATAGATATATGTGTGTGTGTATATGTGTGTGTGTGTGTGTATGTGTGTGTGTGTGTATGTATGTGTGTGTATATGTACATAAGATTGTTTTACCATTTGCTGCCTTGCTTCTTCAAAAGCACGTTTCTCTTCTTCTAAACGTTGTCTTGCTTCTTCTTCAGCTTGCTTCCTTCGATTTTCTTGTCTTTGTCTTTCTAATTCTTCAAAAGTTAGTTTCAATTTTCCAGGAGTAGTTGATTCTTTTTTTGCCTCATCATCCAGTTCATCATCCTAATAAAACATAAAAACCCATCTTTTAATCATACGGGAAATGCTGCTAACCAACTCTCCTGCTTTAACTTGCTCCTTAAGGAAAAACCAAACAAACAAAAGAATTACCATGACCAATGAGAGGCACTTTGCTTCCTTGAGAGACCGTCGTTGTTCCTCATATCTTATTCTTTTATCTTCTTCAGACTTGACCCTTTCTTTTTCTTCTCTTTCCTTTTCTAGATCCTCAAAACTCTTTATTTTTCCAGATGTTTTGTGTGATTTAACAGGTACCACTGTTATAAGTAGTGAATCATCTCCTTCCTAATTTATAAAATAGATAATTAGCATATTTCTTCCTAATCAAAACTTAGGTTTCATGGGACATTACCTCCATCATTGGTGAATTTCATTACATTGTCATCAGTGTTATGAAGAACAAAAATTTATATATATATTTTTTTTACCTATTTTTATTAAATATTTCTATCTCCAACATCATTGTACATTATGAGTTAATGTGATGCAAATCCATTGCTGACTAGGCTCAAGGATCATCTTCTTCCCTAGAAGATGGTGTTAATACAGCTGTTCAGATAAAACTACATGATATTATTTGAATTTAGCTATTCATGCACTAATCCCACAAAAGGTAGTATGCACGTGTGAACACTGTAAATCAATTTGATGGTGGAAGGATTCAGTTTAAACACACAAATTTTCTCAAATTTTCTCTCCATGCAAGTTTTTAATTTATATCTTTTAAAAATATTTTTTATTGATTTCAGAGAAAGAGAGAGACATCAATGAGAGAATCATTGATCAGGTGCCTCCTGCACACCCCTACTGGGGATCGAGTCCACAACCAGAGCATACCCCAACCTGGAATTGAAGTGTGACCTCCTGGTTCACAGGTCAACACTCAACCAGTGAGCCACACTGGCTGGGCTCTCCATGAAAGTTTTTAAATACTTAGTAAAGCAAATATTTAGTACGTAAAAAGAAAGAGGATTTCCAAATGATTTATAAAACATTTTTGTACTAGAAACAAAACTCTTTGGCATTTGATCTTCTTGAAACTTAATTTTTTTTAATGTATTTTAGTTCTATTACATAATCTATTGTTGCTTCCAATTTATTTGGCCGTAGTTTTAGGCACACCATCAAATTGATTTTTAACTTTCTGTTAGAAAAGGGTAACTAAATCTTCTGTGGCTGTTAAATTTTTCTTTATGGTAATAGATAATACTATACTCTCTACTAACATATGATAACCAAATAAACTATCAGGAACTCTGAGGAAAGAAGACAAATGATGAAAAGAAAACTGCATTTTAAACTGTAAGCTTTCAATAATCTCAGCTATTTGTGATAGTTAAAAAAATATGTAGTCTTGCCAGAGTTACCTCAAAGTGAGACTGTTTCTAACCATGAAAGCAAAACATACTTTTCTTTAAAAACACTAAGGTATAATGTTCAAAAATATGATTTGCTTTGCAAAATATTTTTGACCTTTTTATTGTTGCTGTATTTATAATAAAAAGAATAAAAACTTAATTTTTAATTAAAAGATTATTTGTGAATCAGATAGTTTTAGGTGAATGTTTCATTAAAGTAAATGTCCATTTACCTCTGATGCTGATTCAGTTCCCGTATTGTTTATGTCCTCAATCTATTGAATGAGAATTTCATATCATTACATTACATTTCTTTTTTTTTGCTTTTAAACATACAATGGAAAATAATTTAGTTATGACTTATGATAAATGTTTAATTTGTAATTTTTGAAATATTTTTGGTTCAAATTAGCCAACTATATCCCTTTAAATGCAGATTAAACCTTATATTGGTTTTTGCATTTTGATATAAATATCAATCTCTAGAGACCAATATATTAAGAAAAAAATAAAGAATACCTTTGTAATATTGGAATTTGAATAATTGACCAAACTCATGACCTGACAGTGAGCTTACATAAGCATCAGTTATTAATAAAATTATCTATTTAAACTGAGATACAGAAACATTTCTCCATTCTCTGTCTCTGCCCCAGTAAAAGAAAATCATTATCAATCAAGACCATAACTGTATTTACAATAAAAATATATGGCAAAAATATAACTGACACAATAAAATATAACTGACACAATAAAGTGTGATGAAAGGTATAGGCTTTTACATGGCTAGTTTAGAAAGGAAAAAAAATTCTGGAAATCATATTTGTTTATATTTTGACCAAATCCAGGTAGGGAAGTCCCTCATTCAAAAGGAGGGAGCTCAATTTGGCCATTACTCATAAGAAATATCATCGTTAGTTTGAAGGGCAGGCTAATGTACAAAAAATGAGAAATGGAGAGAAGAAAGGTAATTTAAAGAATGCAGTGTCTGAGATCTCCGGAAAAAGAAATATAAGCAATGGGAAAAGTTATAAAGTAAAAATTCATATTGTTTATTATTTTAATTTGATTTTTAACACCAGTGAAAGAGCCTGGAAGTAGCATGTATCTCACGCAGCCTAAGAGAAGTCTGTTGTATCTTGGTTCATACTAGGAACTGGGCTGGCTAAGGCCCTGTTCTGACACTATCCCACTTCTCTATGTTCTCTGTCAAGTAAGAAGTAATACATTTTATTAAGATACCAAATTTCTTGAAAAATAAATTATTCTGAACAAATCATTAAAATATTTTTTATATGCTAATAGTTTATTAATAGGTGTGTTCAGAGTAATTTGCCTTGTTACAGAATTATTTATCATACCGATTTGCCATATAAATGGTGAAGGTTTTATTGAATGATGTATTATACTAAGACAATTTAAGTTGAAACCAGTTTGGTTCAGTGGATAGAGCGTGAGGGGGGAGGGGGGTGCCGAAGGCAGCTGATTGATGTTTCTGGCTCTCTATCCCTCTCCCTTCCTCTCTGTAAAAAAATCAATAAGATATCCGAAACCAGTTTGGCTCAGTGGATAGAGCATTGGCCTGCGGACTGAAAGGTCCCGGGTTCGATTCCGCTCAAGGGCATGTACCTTGTTTTCGGCCACATCCCCAGTAGCGGTTGTGCAGGAGGCAGCTGGTCAATGATTCTCTCTCATTGACATTTCTAGCTCTTTATCCCTCTCCCTACCTCTCTGTAAAAATTCAATAAAATATATATTTTTTAAATCAATAAGATATTTTTTTTAAAAAGAAACAATTTAATGGACCTATAATGAAATAACTACAAAATTATTTCCTTTCCAAAAGATGTTAACAAAAGATTCCTCTACAAATCACAATCTCTCAATAAAAAGTTCTAGGAGATATAATGAGAAGCCAGACATTGAGAGTATAGGGAAGAATTTCACTCAGCCTTCCTCCTCAGTCAGGAATCCCTTCTATAGCATTTTTTAAAAAAAAATTGATTGGTTTTAGAGAGAACAAAAGGGAGAGAGAAAGAAAGAAGGGGAGAGAGTCACTAAGTTGTTCCACTCATTTATGTATTCATTGGTTAATTCTTGTCTGTGCCCTGACCAGAGATCAAAGCCACAACCTTGGCTCATTGGGATGACACTCTAACTGAGCTACCTGGCCAAGGCTATAGCATTCTTGAATATGGACTTGTACAATTTCATTTCAAACAAACATTAAGACTATTCTTGCCCTAGGCTATTTGGATAGAGTGTCAACCTGTGGACTGAAGGGTCCCAAGTTCGATTCTGGTCAAGGGCATATGCCTGGGTTGTATACTTGATCCCCTGTAGGGGATGTGCAAAAGGCAAAGTTGCCTTTCTCTCATCATTGATGTTCTATCTCTCCATCTCCCTTCCTCTCTAAAATCAATAAAAAATATTTTTTTAAAAAGAAAAAAAAAGATTCTTCTTGACTACCTATGTCATACTTTACTACTTATATTCAAAGAAAGATTAAATTATATCAGATATGAGCATAAAATGTACTTAATTAGGATTTTAAATTATTTGCAAGATAGAAATTGCTGTTAATAGTTCCATTTTGTTCTACATAAATATTCTCAAATAATTTAACGGGCCAAAAATTTCATTAACCAAGATTGTATGGCACCCTGCCATATAGTACTGAGGTGGTTCTCTTTCATGATTATATTTTATTTCCATCTCCTTTGAGTATCCTATGTATTCACCATGTTCAAACTCACCTCTTCAACATACACATAGTTTTTCTTTGAGAAACCACTACCTACATATTCAGTATACTAAACCCATGTGCAAGCTCATTATTTGCTGCCAAAAACCCTGTATTTTAATTATATATTTTATTATAATGCTATTACCTTACTTTATAATACAAAAAATTGCATATATATTATCTTTATAATCTACATATATAAAAGGTTAATACACAAAGTGTCCTCTCAGGAGTTCCACGGGGAGTTCAATCACTTGCTATCACATGTGCTGACCACCGGGGGGTGGCACAGAACATGGTTGGTGACCAGCGGCAGGGACATTAAAGGAGAAAGGGAAGGAGGAGGCGAGGAGAGAGGAGAGGCGGGTAGGACCTATTCTGCCCTAATCACTGGCCAGGCCTAGTATTATAACTCTTCTCTTGTGAAATTTCATTGCAAAGACATACTAATCTTTGATGACTGGAGGTGACAGGGGTAAAGTAGATACCATCCTTTCCTCAGATAAAGAGGTACATAGTCATAAAATAGAAGAAATTTTCAATTGTTGCCTATAATTCATCTGGCATATTTCATTATCGGCCACCATGCAAGTGGTTATTGGTGCCAGAGAAGTGGTTATTTGCGAAGTCTAGGTAAATAAATTTCTTTGACATGCAAATATGCCGTATGCTTTGCTTTGCTTTGTCACTTTTCTTTTTAGAAAGGTAGCAGAAGCTGAAAGAGCATAGCAAATAGATTTAAGGCACTTAAAGAGTAGGCAAAAAAAAGGCAAGTACAATCTCACAATTACAATTTTTTAAGAGACAATATACTATGAAGACTCTTACAATATTTGTTAAAATACTGAGGAGAAAAGGAGGAGAACCTAAAATAGTTCTATAACATCTTATCTATATGTATTATTATTTAGGTGAAACATTAGGTATGTATATAGCCCACTTACTCTATAATAGGCACAGTTCTAAGTGCTTTGCATTTATTAACTCACATAACTTTATTTATGACTCTAGGAAAATAAATACCATTATTATCTCATAAAGGTCGAAACACTGAACATCTCTTTTGATCTTCCAATGTAGATCTGGTTGTAGCACATAAACAGTATAACTGTCTCTGTCATCTATTCAACTATATGATTATAATGTAAAACAAATATCAATATATTAAAGACATTTTTGTGATCAATCAGTTCTTTATTTAAAATATAATAAAATAAAATAAAATAAAATATTATAATAATTACTATTTGAGAGATCAGCTTTTTCTGGACTGTATAGCATATGCTTGAGTATTTCAAAAATACTTACCAGCCTCTTACTTCTCATGCTCTTAGATAAAATATACAGGAATTTGAAGTTAATTAACAGATTATATAAAGTCACAGTAATAATACTTTAATTCTCATTTCTCCTATATGGGCATCAGTTATATAAAGGAAACTAGAGGCCTGGTGCACAAAATGTATACATGGGAGATGGGGGTGACCCTCAGCCCAGGCTGTACCCTCTCGCAATCCAGGACCCCTCAGGGGATTGGGCCTAAACCAGCAGTCAGACATCCCTCTCCCAATCTGGGACTGCTAGCTCCTAACCACTCAACTGCCTGATCACCCCTAACCACTTGCCTGCCTGCCTGATTGCCCCTACCTGCCTCTGCCTCAGACCCCGCTTCCATTGCTTTGTCCAGAAAGACATATAGAATAATGTCCAAAAGATCATTAGGCTGTCCAGTCTAATTAGCATATTATGCTTTTAGTATTATAGATGGCTGTCATAGATTTGCTCCCCGCTCCTTTTACCACCCCCAACTTAAAAAAAATTAAATTAGATAATACCATTATTTTTTTTATTAGATTTCCAGAACATATTTTATTTATTTATTTATTTATTTATTTATTTATTTATTTATTTATTTATGGTTAATCTTCACTCACGAGCCCTGCCCAGGGCCTGGGCCTGGGAGGAGACTCCAATCAAGGTATGTGCCCTTGGCTAGAATTAAACCTGGGACCCTTTGGTCTGTGGGCTGATGCTCTATCTGCTGAGCCAAACCAACTAGGGCTAATAATACCATACTATCTAATAAAGAGGGAATATGCAAATTGACCACCACACCATCACAAAGATGGTGACGCCCAATTCCTTCAGCCCCACCGGAGTCCCATAGTCCTCTCAGCCCAGCCGGGGGGGGGGGGGGTCGACAGGTGCATGATGTGACTGGACCTGCCCTCTGTCCCCCAGCTGCCCAGGTGTGGCCTGAGGTGCAGGCAAGCCACGGATGGCAGCAGCCCAGGCACCCAGAGCTGGCCCAAGGCACAGACAAGCCCTAGATGGTGGCTGCCCAGCTGACACTGAGGCGCAGGCAAGAGTTGGATGGTGGCTGCCCCGCTGACACCCAAGGTGCAGGCAAGCATCAAATGAAGCTTCTCAGCACCCAGGGTTGCCTGAGGCTTAGATAACCAGGGTTGGCCAAGGCTTGTGCTGCCAGCAGCAGCAGCAGAGGTGTGATGGGGTATCACCTTGCCCTGATCGCTACGTTGTCTCCCACTCCTGAGGCCTCTTGGACTGTGAGAGGGGGCAGGCTGGGCCGAGGGACCCTCCCCCTCATGCACTGGGCCTCTAGTCCTATTTAATAAAAGAGTACTATTCAAATTGACTGTACCTCCGCTAAACCCACAAGCCACGCCCAGTAGCCAAACAGAAGTGAATATGCAAATTAACCCAACCAAGATGGCTGCGGCCACAGAGAGAGCAGGAGGCTTGGGTTTCCCCAGTAATGCTTGGGGTCCAGGGGCTAGCTTCTTGGCTAGCCCCTGGACTCCACTCAAGGCTACAAAGTTTCAATTATAGAAGATAAATAAATCCCAACAAAAATGGCACCAGCCACGAAGTTGGAGAGAGCAGGAGGCTTGAGTTGCCCCCGGCAATGGAGGAAGCCAAGCTTCTGCAGCCTTAGCCTGCCTTGGCCTCCACTCAAGGCTACGAAGTTTTAATTATAGAAGATAAATAAATCCCAGATACCAGGGCCTCCACTTGGGTTGCTGGGGGGCATGGCCAGCCTGCAAACCAACACAGGCCCATCACCCAGGCTGCCCCATGCCCCAAGGGAATCCCCATCCTAATCCAGGACACCCTGCAGGGCAACCAAGCTGGACCCCACCCATGCACCAGGTCTTTATCCTATGGACAATCACTCCAACACACAAGATGGCTGCCCCCATGTGGTCAAAGATAGCTGCCCCTATGTGGACACAAGATGGCTGCCACAAGATGGTATGCAGGGGAGGGCAGTTTGGAGGGACCAGGCCTGCAAGGGAGGACAGTTGGGGGCGATCAAGCCTGCAGGGAAGAGCAGTTAGGGGTGACCAGGTTGGCAGAGGAGGGAAGTTGGGGGTGACTGGGCCTGCAGGGAGAGTGGTTGGGGAGGACCAGGTCTGCAGGGGAGGGCAGTTAGGGGCAAACAGGCTGGCAGGGGAGCAGTTAGGCATCAATCAGGCTGGCAGAGGATTGTTTAGGGGGTGATCAGGCTGGCAGGCAGAAGCAGTTAGGGGCAACCAGGAAGGCAGGCAAGTGAGCAGTTGGGAGCCAGCAGTCCTGGATTGTGAGAAGGATATCCGACAGGTAGTTTAGGCCCGATCCTGGACAGTCGGACATCCCTTAAGGGGTCCCAGATTGGAGAGGGTGTAGGCCGGGCTGATGGACACACACATCCTCCCATGCACGAATTTTGTATAACAGGCCTCTAGCTATTAAATAAAATGTGATTTAGCCAAAACCGGTTTGGCTCAGTGGTTAGAGCGTCGGCCTGTGGCCTGAAGGGTCCCAGGTTCGATTCCGGTCAAGGGTACGTACCTTGGTTGCAGGGACATCCCCAGTGGGGGGTGTGGAAGAGGCAGCTGACCAATGATTCTCTCTCATCGATGTTTCTAACTCTCTATCCCTCTCTCTTCCTCTCTGTAAAAAATCAATAATTAAAAAAAAATTTTTTTTTAATAAAAAATAAATAAATAAAATGTGATTTAATTGGTATCAAATTCTTGAGTAGAAAGATATGTTCTTTATGCCTTGGTGTTTGATAATAACCAAGTATTTACTGATTGCTGTTAAAAAGGCCATCATTTTATTAGTGTTTGTGAATAGCTTATGTGTGAAATTGTCTTATATCTATATATTGAGGCCTGATATCTATACCAGTATATCTATACTGGGGATCCCTCAGCATAGCCTGCAGGGATCTGGCCTAAAGTGGCAGTCCAACACTGCTGCCACTCCTGCCGGTCACTCCTGATGCCACCACTGCCACTTGGCAGGCTTGCTGCAGCTCCATGCAGCCTCCAGGCTGTGGCGGCCAGGCCAGCCGCGAGCCCTGCTTCTGGCTCCTGTCAGGCAGCCGAGTGCTGCTCCCGCTGTGAGAGTGCACGGACCACCAGGGGCAGCTCCTGCGTTGAGCGCATCATAGCTACTGGTCATTCGGTCACCTAGGCTTTTGTATATATAGATAAAATCTTCTAACAAGTCAAGCAAAATAACCAATGTTGATAGCGTAAGGAATGTGTGTGGATGGAAGGGTAAAACGGAATATGACAAAAGTCACCTCAGTATTCAACCTTAAAATAGGTACCTTCTGCCCGGACCCTTCTAGGCATTTGATATTAAATGTTTGTGGTTAAGATCTTGTTTTCAAGGTAGCAACCATGTAATAGGTTCATGTTACATTAAAACATTTTAATTAGGCAGCATGGTGATTAGTTTTCTTCTGTAAAATTAGTTTCTTAAGCAAATACCAATTTAATATTTAGTGTATACCTGCTCAGCCCTTTTTGCTAGTTCACGTTGTATCTTCCTCTTTTCTAACATATCCTGCTCAATTCTGCGTTTTCGTTCCTCCTCTGTTCTCTTTCTTTCTTCCTCTTGTCTTTGTCTCTCCATTTCAGCAAATCTACCTTTAACAGTTCCTGAGAATAGATGAAACATGTTTGATACTTTGCTGTTTTCCTTCTTTACAATTTCATTTACAATTTACCCTTCAAGTGTCTTACCTTTTAGCTTGGGAACATAAGCTTTATCCACTTTAGAAGGCACCTCTCCCTCTTCATCAGAAGCAAGCATTTCTTTAATCTAGACAGTTAAATAAATTAACATGAACATGTCACAAATTTAGACTAAGCCACATTATATGCAGAGTTGGAAATTAGTTTTTAGATACAGAAAATTATCTTAGTTATGGTTAATATGAAACAGTTAATGTGAATAATGAAATGTAAATTAATAAGATAAATATTTGTACAACAGTAAAATAAATTAAAATAACCTCCTGTTTTCTCCTGTTCCATTCTCTCTCTCTAATAAATTGTTCTTTTCTTCTTTGCTTTTCGTCTCTAGATCTCCTTTGATTTCTTTCTTCCCTGGCTCTCTGCATGGCTTCAAACTTATCCTTTACATCACCTTTGCCAAGTTTTGGCACATAGGTTTTTGGGACAGGTTTAGATGAAGAAAGCAGAATCTTCATTAGAAGAAAATAAAGAAAAGAAAGTTGAAAAAAAAAATAAAGATAGAAATAAGTTAGGTAAAGATAGACCAGAATAAGCAATACAAGAAATACTTGTTGAAACAGAAACAGAAAACAGAAATGAGTTTGAAACCTTTATTTGAACCATAAGAATCTGATTATATACTGTGTGAAGTCTAAATCTAAAAGAGAAAATTACAGAAAATATGAGAGTAAAAAATTTTATTAATATATAGTACAGAAGTTCCATTTTATAAGTGCATTCCACTGAACCTGAGGGCTAGTAAAATATATAAGGTGATTACTGGATTCTAATTTAAAATAACCTTTATTTTATCATCCTACTCCGATTGCTTGATTAAAAGATACCCAGACTTTTTAAAAATATATTTTTATTGATTTCAGAGAGGAAGGGAGAGGGAGAGAGAGAGAGAGAAATATCAACACACCAACGATGAGAGAGAACTACCAATCAGCTGCCTTCAGTATACTCCCAACTAAGGATCTAGCCCCCAACCAGGACATGTGCACTGACAGAGAATTGAAACATTACCTTCTGGTTCATAGGTTGATTCTCAACTACTGAGCCACACTGGCTGGGCACTCAGATTAATGTCAATAAATTAGATGAAGATGAAAATAAAGCAAAAGTTTGCCGGGACCAGTTTGGCTCAATGGATAGAGCATCGGCTTGGGGACTAAAGGGTCCCGGGTTCGATTCTGGTCAAGGGCATGTACCTTGGTTGCGGGCATATCTCCAGTAGGGGGTGTGCAAGAGGCGGCTGATTGATGACTCTCTTTCATCGATGTTTCTAACTCTCTATCTCTCTCCCTTCCTCTCTGTACAAAATCAATAAAATATATTTTTTTTAAAAAAAAGAAAAAAAAGAAAATAAAGCAAAAGTTTAATGTGTATTAATGTTCTTGCTTGTTTCCATATCTAATATAAACTAAATTTAAGTCCAGTCCTTAATTTTTCATTTGTGGCTGAGATGTGCCAGAAATTGTATTTTGTTTTTGTTTTTTTAATCAATTCTGATATCTTTTAATTGCAGTGTTTAGTCTATTAGCATTTAATGTAATTATTTATATGAATGGACTTAAGTGCATAGGCAGATACATTGTTACTGCCCATACAGAACTTCTATAAACCAACATTAAAATTGTGTAAGAATGCCTGCTGGTGCTGCTTCGTGTTTGAGCATCGACCTACGAACCAAGAGGCCATATTTTGATTCCCAGGAAGGCCACATGCCCTGGTTACGAGCTCGATCCGCAGTGTGGGGTGTGCAGAAGGCAGCAGATCAATGATTCTCTCTCAGCATTGACGTTTCATCTCTCTCTCCCTCTCCTTTCCTCTCTGAAATAAGAATAGGATATTTTTTAATGTAAAAGAAAGCTGTCTCATTCCAAATAGGATGAGCTCCATAGAAAAATTCCCAAATGGCAAAAGAGCTTCCCAAAGCTTTTCCTCCACTATAAAACCTAGAAAGCAAATCATTTTTATCATTTTTGAAAATTAAGCCGGTCTCTAAAAGAAGTTTCCATAAACTAAGCTTCAGTTCTTACTTAGAACGCCAAACCCTTTCTCCTAGCACTAATGACAAATTGCTAGTTAATCTGGCATACCCAGACTCTATTTTATCCACTTACGATGTCATTGGCCATTTAAGGTTTTATTATGTTTATAATTTGGGGGCATCGCCAAATTTGGGGGCGGATTCTTCTTATTACAACTCTCCTCACTGCAGCCAAGAACCAGAAAATGGCTGAGAAGTTTTATTGCAGCTTCTGGAGGAAGTGCTACTATAGGGACCCTCACCTGAGAGTGAATTATTGCTAGCTCCTAGAGTACAAGTCAAATCCATTTTTTTAAAAATACAGAAAATATAACTTCTAAGACTTAGAAAGATATTAAAATTCTACTCAAGATGCTTCCCATCACATTCACTTTACAATGATTCACAAATTTAATAATCACAGTTCTTAGATTGGAACCCAAGCAAAACTACGGGACCCAACACCAGCCTATGAATTTCTTATGATTTATATCTTGACACTGTGTTGTTATGAATTTCTAAGCATGACCTTTCCACTGAATAACTGTCCTTCCACAGTCAACCTGAGGTTTCCCCCTACTTCTTTTTCAACTCTGGAGACTTACCTCAGCCTTTTGGGAAATATCATTCATGTTTGCTGTGTGTCGTCTTGGGGTGATTATGAAGCTTTGTGTATTTTCTCACCTGAAAAATATATTAGTATTGAATAAGAATTTTAATGACTTGATTTTTAAAAATAGGTGATAACTCTTAGCTTCTTTTCCCAAGATTTAGGGTAGAGCAGGCACAAGATGCATGGTATAAAAGATCTTTGTAAGCGTGTGGCCCAAAATAGCTTGTGACTGTATCTAGTGTGCTTGCAAAGAATTTGTATCCTGTAGTTATTAGGTGTATTATTCTATAAATACCAACCAGGTCAAGGTGGTTATAGTGTTATTGAAATTTCTGTCTTCACTTTTTCTTTTTTTTTTAGCCTAGTTTTATTAGTCTTCAACTAATGGAATTATCTATTTCTTCTTTTAATTCTGTCATTTGTGTCTCATACAATTTCAAACTCTTTTAAGTCCATATCCATTATGATTTTAATATCTTCTGTTAGAATTGACCCTTCCACTAGTATGAAATTTCCCTGACTTACCTTATTGCCTTGAACTTATCTGATATTAAAATAGCCACATCACCTTCCTTAAGTTTAGTTTGCATAGTATATCATTTTCTAGCCATTTATTTTCAACCTACCTTGGTCTTTACATGTGAAGTACATCTTTTGGGCACATCACATAATTGGACTTTATGGTGTGTTGTGTTTTTTTTTTTTAAATCAACTCATATCTTTTAATTGCAGTGTTTAGTCTATTAACGTTTAATGTAATTATTTATATGAATGGACTTAAGTCTACCATTTACTATTTATTTCTTATTTGTCCCCTCTTTTTTGTTCTTTTACTGTTCTTTTCTTGCCTACTTCTGGATTAATTGAATACTTTTTAGAGTTTTATTATAATTTATTTATTGTAATTTGTAAAATTAAAAGACAGTTTTACTAAGCTGCAGTTGACATATAACAAACTACACTTTTTAAAAGTGCACAATTTTACATCAAAATAAAAAGCTTTTTTACAGCAAAAGAAACATCAACAAAACAACATGAAAGCCCATTGTATGGGAGAACATATTTGCAAATGTTACCACTGATAAAAGGTTTAATCTCCAACATCTACAGACAGCTTATACAACTAAATAAAAAGAATTTGAATGATCCAATTAAAAAATGAGCAATGGACCTAAATAGAATATTTTCAAAAGAAGACAGAAGGCCAAGAGGCACATGAAAACATGCTCAAAGTCAATAATTATCCGAGAGATGCAAATCAGAACAACAATGTAGTACCATCTCACACCTGTCAGAGTGGCCAACATCAACAAATCAACAAAGGACAAGTGTTGGCGAGGTTGCGGAGAAAAAGGAACCCTCGTGCACTGCCGGTGGGAATGCAGACTGGTGCAACCACTGTGGAGAACAGTATGGAGTTTCCTTAGAAAACTGAAAATGGAACTCCCATTTGATCCAGTAATTCCACTCCTAGGATTATATCCCAAGAAACTAGAAACACCAATCAGAAAGGATATATGCACCCCTATGTTCATAGCAGCACAATCTACAATAGCTAAGATTTGGAAACAACCTACGTGCCTGTCAGCAGATGATTGTATCAAGAAACTAAGGTACATCTACACAATGGAATACTATGCTGCCATAAAAAAGAAGGAATTCTCATCATTTGCAGCATCCTGGATGGAATTGGAGAACATCATGCTGAATGAAATAAGCCAGTCAATGAAAGAGAAACACCACATGACCTCACTCATTTATGGATAATAAAGAACATTATAAACTGATGAACCAAAAAATAGATATAGAGACAGTAAAACAACAAGCAGACTGTCAAATTACAGCGGGGAGGGGAGGGAGATCTGGGGGAGATAATAGATCAACCAAAGGACTTGTATTCAGCATATAAGTACGACCAATGGACACAAAACTCTGGGGAGGGAGGGTACTTATGGAAGCGGGGGCAATGGTAAGATATGTACACAGATAATAATTTAATTAAAAAATAAGGGAAAAATTTTTATAAAAAAATAAAAGTGCACAATTTGATAAGTTCTGACATATGTATTCAGACATCATCACCACAGATAAGAAAATTAATATATACATTATCCCCAAACGTTTTCTCAGACCCCTTACTTCCTTTTTCATCCTGCCTCTCTTACCCTCACCCCCAACCCCAGGCAGATATGCTTTCTGTCACTATAGATTAGTTCAAATTCTCTTTAAGTGGAATTATATAATATGTAGTTGATTGTCTGGCTTTTTTCACCCAGTATAATTATTTTGAGGCTCATCCATGTTGTTGCATTTGCCAATAGTTCATTCCTTTTTATTACTGATTACTATTATATGCCACAATTTGTTAATCATTCATCTGTTGGTAGACATTAGGGTTGTTTCCAGTTACTATTACAAATAAAGCAGCTATGAACATTCATTTACAAGTCTTGAGGCAGCCAATAGATGTTCCTTTCTCATCTATGTTTCTATTCCCTCTATCTTTCTCCTTTCCTCTCTCTCCAAAATCAATAAAAACATATCTAAAAACAAAAAGAAGAGAGATGTTTTGTAGTATTCAGTGTGCAGGTCTTCCATATCTTTTGTGAGATTGATCCCTAAAAAATTTCATATTTGTTGTTGCTTTTATAAATGGTGTTTTTAGGTTTCAATTGATAATTGTTGCTAGTATATAAAAATATAATTTACTAGAGGCCCAGTGCATGAAAAGTCATGCACTGGAGGGTGGGGAGGAGGCGTGTGGGGGATGGGGAGGTCCCTCAACCTGGCCTGCTCTCTCTCACAGTCCAGGAGCTCTCAAAGGTGGGAGGCAACCCTGCAATCAGGGCAAGGTGATGCCCAGCACACTTCTGCTGCTACCACTGCCAGCAGCGCAAGCCTTGGGTGGCCCTGGGTGGCTGGGGGGTTAAGAAGACTGTGGGACTCCGGAACCAGGGGCACAGAAGGGACTGGGGGGCAGGTTGAGGAGACTGTGCACTGCCATCTTGTGGCTGTGGAAGCTGCCATATTTGAGGGTGGGGCAGTCAATTAGCATATTCCCTCCTTATTGGCTGTGTGTGCTGCTATCTTTGAGGGCAGGGCAATCAATTAGCATATTCCCTCCTTATTGGTGGTGGGCACCACCATCTTTGTGATGGTATGAAGGTCAATTACCATATTCCCTCTTTATTAGATAGGATTTTTGTACTCTGATCTTACATCCTGCTAAAGTAAAATTATCAATTCCATTGGATTTTTGTTTGTTTGTTTTAGATTCCATTAGATTTTCTACATAGATTATTACATCATCTGTGAACATCTTTTCTTTTTCAATCTGGATGTCTTTTATTTCTTTTTGTGGCCTGATTGTACTGGTTAGAACTTTCAGGACACTGTTAAGTAGAAGTAATAAGAGCAGACTTTTTTGCTTTGTTCCTGATCTCAGGGGAAAAAAATTTTCTCTCACCAATAAATATGATTTTAGCTACAGATTTTATCTTAGATGTACTATATCAGATTAAGTTCATTTCTATTCCTGTTATGCTGCAGTAATTTCAGGAATGAGTGTTGAATTATCTAATGCTTTTTCTGTATTTATTAAGATAATCAGCCGAAACCGGTTTGGCTCAGTGGATAGAGCGTCAGCCTGCAGACTGAAAGGTCCCAGGTTCAATTCCAGTCAAGGGCACGTACCTTGGTTGTGGGCACATCTTCGATAGAGGGTGTGCAAGAGGCAGCTGGCCGATGTTTCTCTCTCATCAATGTTTCTAGCTCTCTATTCCTCTCCCTTCTCTGTAAAAAAAACCAATAAAGTATATATATATATTTTTTAAAAGATCATCATACGGCTTTTATTTTTATTATGGTGAATTTATTTATTTTCAAATGTTAAATCAACTTTCCATTCCTTGATTTGGTCATGATGCATTATCCTATACATCCTGATAGATTCAATTTGATAAAATTTTGTTAAGAAGTTTTTCATCCACATTTGTGAAGGATATTAGTTGGTAGGTGTTTGGTTTTTTTTGTCTTGTTTGTTTGTTTTGTTTGTTTGTTTGTTTTCTAGAGAAGGGAGAGAGAGAGAGAAACATCCACGAGAGAAGCATCAACATTGATTGGCTGCTTCCTGCAAGTCCCCTGGAATCAGCTCGCAACCCCTTGTGCATGGGTCAGTGCTTAATCACTGAGCACACAGGCCAGGTGGTTTGTAGCTTTATTCTTGTAATACCTGTTTGATTGTTTTTTTCAATGTTTTTGTATTGATTTCAGAGAGGAAGGGTGAGGGAGAGAGATAGAAGCATCAATGCTGAGAGAGAATCATAGATTGGTTGCTTGCTACATGGCCTCTATGCAAATCGAGCTCAAAGCCCAGGGATCAAACCATGACCTCTTGGTTCATAGGCTGACCCTTAACTACTGAGCCACACCTCTCTTTGTTAATTGAGTAATACTTCTCTCACAGAATGAATTGGGAAGTATTTTCTCTTCTTTAATTTTCTGTAATAGTGCATGTAGAGTTGGTATTATTTTTTTCCTTAAATGTTTGCAAGAACTTCCTGATGAAACCAACTGGGGCTAGTTTTCTTTGAGAGAGGAGATAAAATGATGGGGGTGAGTGGGTCTCAATTCCATGTAACTATTAACAAGGTACTAACTGTTGTAGTTTAATGGGTCAGTGGGTGCTTATACATTACTAACAACAATTACTAATAGCCATGGCCAGTGTGGCTCAGTGGATAGAGCCTCGGTCTGAGGACTGAAGGGTAAAGGGCATATGCCTAGTTGAGCGCTTGATCCCCAGTGAAGGTGTGCAGGAGGCAGCTAATCAATGATTCTCTCTCATCATTGATGTTTGTATCTCTTTCTTCCTCCCTGAAATCAATAAAAAATATTTTTTTAAAAACCCAATTACTAATAAAAGCAGGCCATGCTTGGATGAAAGTATGTCATTAATCAAGGTTTACAAGCAATCTACTTCTATGTGCCTGAGATAAAAATAACAAATAGCTATAGTCT